TTGCGATTCCATCCAAAATAAGATTCATTAGACAGACGACGAAACAACAGGAAAACAAAATGAGATAGATCTAATTTCGATAGGACTGAAAATAACTCCTATAATTAGATGGACAGTTTTGTAACGGGGAAAAACAAAAGCAATAGATGTTTTTTGTTTTGTTTAATTGAGCAGACATTACTACGTATTTATTTACTCACTGTATCTGTTTATGTATTATCTATAGATCGGCGTATTTCATGTTTCGCAGCTTACGACAATTAAGCAACGTTTGTTACTGATAATACTTGGATAGATAGGAATATTTCAAAAACTTTAGCAGACATTTTGCATTAAGTAAACCATTTAACGAAATACAGAAATAACTAATATTATATTTTACGCAAATTCGCAATTACAGAAAATAACAAAAAAATATACTATCAAACTTATAATATATTTACCAAATCAGTAGATTAATAATTAGTTTCCAAATATTATTATCTTTATATAGATTTTATAATACAATGGAACCCCGCTTAACGAGCATTTTGATTAACGAGTAAAATTAATTGTAAGAAAAATGACTCGCTTAACAAGCGACGTTTCGCATAACGATTGACGATGAGAATAGAAGTCCCGGATTTCGCGTCTGATACATCATTTTTAAAATTTGTGTACACATATTATGTGTATTTTTGAGTATGTTTCACTATACGAGTATTTCACTATGAGTAAAAATCAGAAAATTTTCGAACGGATTAAACCTAAGCGAGATTCCACTGTAATTGTGTTTTATTACATCTATGTTTATTTACTAAGAGAATATTGTTAATCAGGTTAGTTTTGTAAATAGATAACCTAACTATATACTAAATTCTTTAATTTAAGAAAAAAATAGATGAATGCAAAGTAAATAATGTAATATAAAATTTTTAGTATTGGATTGGAATAAAATTTGAACTATTTGAATAATGCATAGTATCTAATTTTGAATTCTGAAATATCAATATCCGATTGTAGTTTGACGCGTTTGAATCCGTCAAACCATATCCACTTGCAAATATGATCGTCGACGTTTACTTGAATTTTCGGATGACGTTTGCAAGTAACTGACATTGGAATTTAATCAATTATCATCAATTGTTCGTTAATGTGACGTCTTCGATGATCGTACAAAGTATGAAAAGTCACACGCGCCCGAAGGACCTTCGTGCGTTTGCTCCAAAAGACGAGGCTATATTTATATTATATGATGTGCGCGGATCAACGATTTTTATTTTACTTTTTGTTGTTTGTTGATACGTTTTTCAAAATGAATTCGATTTTGATTTCTGGTTAACCTTGATTCCTGCATAAGTGATACGATAATCGATAATGAAAGGAGTGAGAAGGAAGAAAAAAAAAGTTGATACTTGGAATATTGAAAGTGTGCGTGAGAAAGTGAGAAAGAGCAAAAGATGAAGGGGACATGCTGGAACTCAAGGAGCCACGTAACGTGCACGCACCATGAATCGAGACTAAATTATGTAAATCTTTATTTCCGTGATCCGGTTTTACATATTCAATACGTTTCTACGAGATCGAAGTAATCCAATAATGGGTTTACCGAGGTTCTTGTTCTTCGATCTTGTTATTCCATAACTGAATTGACGTGATGTAGTATTCCTTTTCTGTTTAATCGAGTTTTGTAATAGTAGCTAATCATCCAAATAGGATAATCTCTTTATACATTTTCTTTTAATTTACAGACGATTTATCACAATAACAAATCAATTTAATCGATCATTCATTCGATTGAATAAACGATATTTTCATTGAAAACAAAAAAAATGTATGTGTGCATGTGTGTATGTTGAAGTCAACTGCCAAATAAACGTCAATTGTGTTTGCTTGAAAAGTTTGTCAATGTTCTGTGTAAAACTTCTCGTATTTTAATTTATTTCATGTAAGCAATATATATGTAATGTTATGAAAATTTATATGTTTCTTGTAATTGCGATGAAAGCATTAATTATAATTTGCAGTGAAACAATTCATGTGTAGGTGCTTAACCTCAAAACGTCAAATAAGATATTTTATGTTTATACTTGTGGCAGAATATGTTATTATTTCGTTAAAATTGAAAGTTCTGACGTTTGGACAGTTTTTGTATTTATATGTAAATGCAAAAATTATTGAAACAACACTAAATGTAATTTTAACGTTACTTTATTATTGTTTACAAAATGTTAACGAGTCAATTGGTGTAAAAAATAATTTAAAAAATATAGTTTATGTTTTGAACTAATGTAGTTCAAGTATAAGTTGAGAATCACACTTCATCCAAGTGTGGTGTGCTGATTTTTCATTTTACATTACATATTTATACATTTAATATTGATATGTGCAATTATTCGAAAATATTTATAAAATCTATAACAATTTGTTCGTTGAAATCTTTAATTACTATTATAAATTTCCAAAAAAAAAAAACTATTGCATCTTTTGGAATTTTATAAACCTATGGCAACAAAATTGATTAAATCAAAAAAGGTTCTATATTTTCTTTATTTACAAAGAAAATTACTATGAAAAATATCAATCTCGTTGAAGTTCGATCAGTTACATTTTGATTTCACTCTAAAATTAATTTGTTTATATTAAAATTGAATGCAGCTGTTGTTAAAAATATAATATTAACACAAAAAAATCTACTCTACATGGACTACTTGAAACAAAGAAGAAATGATCATTACAAAGATTTAGAATATTTAGATGAAAGGGGTCGATGTAGAAGGAAGGTTGGAAACCCCTGGTCTAGACAAAAATAAGCAGCAAATATAAAAGTCAATATTTGCATAATTCCATAAATACATCCATTGTGGAAAGATAAATATCTGCAGACACAGAGGACGCCGTTATTTCCGGCCTGCGAATTCGATCGTGGTGATCCTTTTTTTTGTGTATATATATATAACCGACGAAAGGCAAATAATAAATAGATGGAAGGTTTACAGAAAGAGGTAGTGAACCGTCCTTTTTTATGTTGTTGCCACCTCTGCAGAGCCGACCGTAACAGCAGGACATCCGCCAAACACACAAACTTGTATATATATATATAGAGATAAAAAAAAGGACGAAAATGAGAGGAACACGGGACGAAAAGAAACGCTTGAAATTCGTCGTCGCCATTACTTAATATTACCAATAAATATACTCGTTATTGCGGCCTGGCTTTCTCTTCCTCGTCGAGGAAATCTTACAATAATAATCATGATAATGAAAGGGGAAAAATGCGACGACGTCGAGCCACGTCCCGTTTACATTCATTCCAACGTGCATATTTCGTTGCAACATATTTCGTGCGCATCCAAGATTTTGCAACATTCATGTTTCTGTCCCAAAAAATATTCAGATACATCATTACTAATCAGAAAAACTTTGTTAAAAAAAAATCTGCTGACAATTTCTATAAATTGTTACGAAAGCAAAATTAATAAATAAATCTTCAAATTTGATCATTTTGCAGGATATTTGAAACATAGTGAATAGTACAAATATTCATCGATAGATGGCGTCACTATTTTTTTTTTGTCCAATTAGAGCTAAGACTCGAATTCGCATATTATTATTGTTACATTCACCTTTTAACCAACTTACTGCCCCCAGAAAATATCGCAATTCGCGTAATTAACGGCAATAATCGGATTATCATTTACAAATTAAATTTTAGACTTAAACTCATTCAAAGCGCTCATAAATGATATATTATTGTAACAGAAAATGTTCTAATTGATAGTTTCAAAATTTCTAGTAAATTAATATTGCCAATTCGATGCCTAATTCAAAGTTTTCTCATTTTCTCTCTCAATTCTCAAAATGTAACAAATTGTTTTATTATGAATCATTTAAATAATGTTTTCCTTGCTTCTAATTAGATGCATTTCTCGTTGCATATTTCGATGATTTACGATTAACTGTAATAGAATTGCCCAAGAGCCAAGTCAATATTGACCGTTGGAAAGAAAAATGTTGTTATCGACCTGTATCCATTTTTGTTTTGGCCTTTGAGGAGGACTTTGTTGTTTACACATCGGTTACGTCTTGGCACACTCTTCAAAATGACCTAAAGATTAGTGGACGAAATGCAATTCCGGCCAAGATCATGATTCTAATCAACAGACAGATTTCCCAATCGAATGCAACGCATTTATTTAGGTCAAGAAACTCGAAATCACACCAACCGCAAACCTGTATATTTTTTTTAATACAATCATTTACATTTAAAAAAAAGATAAAACATTTCTCATTTATTTATGGACCTTTAATAAGCAACTTTTGAATTAAATTAACTAAATTAAGACAACTTCGCAGAGTATTCTGAATACGTTTATTTGCTCGTCTACCAATTTATTATTTGTTTATTTTCCGTTTTATATCAATACATCCTAATTTATTTCCAACGCAAGATAAACAGTTAAGATTGAAACAGGCTATGGTAATATTGATTGTATACATTAAATGTTGTTTACTTTAATCGATTATTTAAATGGCAAATGTTGATATCTGGGAAATATTTAAAAATCGCAGTTGGATAACAGGCAATGTCAGAGACCTTCGAGTGCAAAACTGACCTCGCACAAGACACACCAACTGAAGATTTCGAAGCGATCAATTCTAGGGGTTCGATGTTTTAAATTACAGCACCAAAGAAGTGCTCTATTGAGGAACGTGCGAGACATCGCAATATTTATGTCATCGTTAAAACAAAACATAAATGATCGAAACATTCTGGTAGAAGTAATGCAGGTGATTTATTAAAAAAAATAAATCGTATATTTAAGCCTTGAAACGTAAGTTGAAACGACTTTTGACCTGAGATTGTTCATTCAAATGTTTCAGATGTACGTAAATATTGGTTGTCAAAACTTTGCGGGAGGGGGGTATGGAAATTACAAAAGATCATGGTTGTCTAGACGCAGTTGGCATTTGAGGAGGTGTGGAAACACTTGATGTTTAATTAGCTGTAAATAACTAACCTGGGATGCGAAATTCGATGTTGCGTTACGTCGTCTCGCTTGTCATTTGTTCCTGCTGGTTGTTGTCACCTGCGTTGGCGCGTGTGGATGGACGGTATTTTTGATGTGATTGGACGTGTATGTTATATATTATATACGTTAGGGCACTACTGAGAACACAGAGTGAGAACAGTACTTTTTGGAAGGAAGGGCTGGCTTTTTCACTGCCTTCCACTCGAATTGTCACCGACGAAAAGAAACCTGCTGAAACCCGCGAAGCGGCATTCACACTGAAAATCTGCCGTGCCTGCTGGACCGTGTTTACACCTTTAACTAAGGATGAGTGGATGGTCCGCACACACCAAAGGGCTTTTCCTGCGAAACCTGCTTATCACACACCTATATCTGCTGACAGCTATTACACCTTCTTTTGCTCGTATGTCCTGTGGTCACACTATTTTCTTTTTTATATATATATATATAAGAAGGGTAGCAAATACACAAGAGCTATCAAGCAAATAATAACTGTGTGGTCGAGCGGGCGCGCGCCGCAACTGCACTCCGCATACCTTGTCGTCGACGACTGCTGGCTGGTTGCCTGGACTGCTGCTTGATGGCCAGCTACGGAAGGTAAACGCGGATCGCAGTCAGCCAAGAAGCGATGTGCGCGCGCGTCTTCCCCGTGGATCATTCCTTCTCGCGCGTGCAGAGCGCGACCGCGCGCAACTACCAACATCGATAAACCAATATTCGCATTCAAATACTTATTACCTACGTACACTATATTCCAATGAACTGCTACAACCCTATCCTTTATAAATTATCCACGAAAATATTGAAAGTTTTACCAACATATTTTGAACGCAAGATTAATATTCGTTATATCCAGTGCCTAATCTACATATATTGAAAAACAAAAAATTCACAAATATTAGAAAGATTACAAACACTATAGTTATGATTCTTTCCTAGTTATTTTGTAAAACGTAATACTTTAACTTGCAATAATTGTGCTTTTTGTAGTATTCAAAATTGAATAATGTTTTCATTTACGCATTTATGTGACATCTAAAATTGAATACTACAGTTAAAGATAAAATTAATATTCAATGTCTTTATTACAAATAGAATAGGTTACATATTATTGGTTTTTTAGGTTGAATGCCCCTGTACGTCTCAGCTCTTTCGGCATTTTTGAGTTATACTAAAGATAAAATCATGAGTTTCCGAACGTATCCTTTTCTATAGTCATAGCTGGTAAGGCTTTCTGATAGTCGACCTAACTTAACTTTTGTCGATTGTCACAATTGTTGTCATTTTTCGGGTAAAAAATATCATCAACTTGTTTGTGTCAAATATATGAAAAATATTTGTTTGTAGCATTATAATTGGAAAGATGAAATTGATAAGTAAATTTGTTATGAATTTCAAAATAATGAAAATATCTATTGTATTATAGAAATTGATTCAAATGGAAGGCGCCAAAATTCCATGCCGTGCTAACTGGTGCGACAAGGTTATTGGTTGCGGTGACAACGTCCTTGCGAACGACCTTCCAATTGAAACGTCCTCTTCGAGATCGCAGCTACCCGATACCCAAAGATCTTAAATTTCTCGATGAATGTTACCAAATAATACATCCGATCTTTATCGTATCGAATCAACAATTTATTACCTTGGTGATGTAATTAAAACTGTTATATTATATTTTAATAATCAGAACAAATTATAGTTGAGAAACAACACGTTTTACATAGAAGGAGAAAACATTTTTACAAGATTTCTTGGCTTGAATTTTTTTATTTTTTTTTTAAATTTGTAACTCGAAGGAAATTAATAATAGTTTTTGTAAATATCGTATAATTCAATGAAAATTGCAAACATTTTTGTTTCAACAAAAAAAGAAAATACTACAAAACAATTATGCGTATAATAATGATTATTGTCCTAAACACCATTCGTACGCATTCCTGAACATCTTCTCCCACGGACTCTTACTGTAAATCTTCCATTCTTGAGGCTTGTAAGGCCATTGGAACAGCTGCTCGCACCTCTCCGGATGAGGCATCATCGCCAGGTGACGCCCATCCTTCGAGCAAACACCGGCCAAACCCTGGACGCTTCCATTCGGATTCATCGGATACTCTTCGGTGGGTCTACCATTATCGTCGACGTACCTCAGAGCAACGCATCCATCGTTCACTAAACCCTTATACACTTGATCATTCTTGAAGGCAAACCTGCCTTCGCCGTGAGCAACCCAAACACCCAGCACAGAATCCTGCATATCGCGTAGCATGATTGACTTGGATTTCGGAATCTCGACTGCCGACCATCTGCATTCGAAACGCTCGGATTTATTATGCTCCAGCATAATATCGGAATCTGTTCCAACCCAACCGATCAAAGCCATCAGCTGACAACCATTACAAACACCCAAAGAGAACGTGTCCTCTCTCTCCACGAATTTCCCGAACTCCTCCTGCAGTTTCCCGTTAAACTTTATGCTCGCCGCCCAGCCCTTCGCCGATCCCATCACATCTTCGCAATTTAATTAAGTTAATTCATGTACAATTTTTTTTAAATATATTATTTACCGGCATAGCTGAATCCGCCTGGGAAAATGACACCTCGGAATTTATCCAAGGTGACGGCGCCGCTCAGAAGATCCTGCATCGTGACGTCCCACACTCTGAAGCCGGCCCTGTGCAGAGCTGCAGCCATTTCCCTGTCACCGTTTGTTCCTTCCTCCCTAATCACGGCCACGTTGATTTCCTTCTTCTCCTCGATAACCTTATAGTAATCTGGGTCAAAGGATAGGCAATAGACGGGGCCTCTCCTCTTCTCCAGACCATCATATTCAGATTTGGCGCACTCCTTTATGCATTGCCTCATCTCCAATTGGTAACTCGTCTCCTCCCACATCTTCATCAAAGGCAAAACCGTGCTCTCGATGCACGCATTGTTCACAGTGATGGCCACCTTTGATTTAATACCGTATCCGACGCTCATTCCGATTTCGTAAACAGAAACATTGTGTTTCTGAGAAAAAAAAATAAACATTTAATCAAAATATTCACCCTGAAACAGTGATTTCACTTACTTGATACAATGTTAAGCAATGGCTGAGATCGTCCGGTAATACTTCGATTATCCAACCGAGTTCTTCGGCGAAAAGGATGTCGATGGCGCGTCCTTGCTTGTGACTGATGTTAACGTTGATACCGCTAATACCACCAAAACACATCTCCAAGAGTGTTGTGATTAAACCTCCGTCGCTGACGTCGTGTCCGGAAAGCACGGATCCATCTTTTATCAACTCCTGCGTTACTTTGAAAGCGTTTACAAGGTCTTCGGTTTTCTCGACATCGGGCGAATCGTCCCCCAGTTGCTTGTAGCATTGCGCCAAAGCCGATCCTCCCAATCGGTTATGACCATTCGAAAGGTCGACAAATAACAAGACGCCTTTAGTACCCATGCTGGGTGCCTTCAAGTCAGGTGTGACAACTTTACGGACATCCGGGCAAGGGGCATAAGTGGAAACTACCAATGTTCCGGGTGCTTTAACAGTGTCTTTCCCAACTCTTGCAGCCATCGAGAGAGAATCTTTTCCGCCATCGACGCCGATACCCAGTTCGGACATTATAGAAGTCATCGCAACGCAAGCGTCATATAAAGCAGCTCCTTCGCCTGGCAACTTTGCGGCCCACATCCAGTTTCCGCTGCATTTGACATCCTTCAAATCGCTTATAGCGGCAAAGACCAAGTTACTAAGAGATTCGGCTACAGTCATCCTGGCTCCAGCCTTATTATTCACCAATCCTTTGATTGGCTGTTCACCAATAGATGAAGCTATTCCTTCCTAAAGTAACAATTATTATTATAGATTTTGTAAACAATTTATTAATAGTGAATTAAAACTTACATAACCGAAATGAGATATTGCAGTAACAGCAACGTCCGCTAAAGGCGTATGAAGTGGACCGACGCATTGCTGTTGAGCGATCAACCCAGTAACACATCTATCAACTTTATTGGTAAGATATCTTTTGCTGCCAACAGAAGGCAATCGAAGCACCCTCTCCAAAGCCTTGTAAATGGAAATATCGTCAGGCAATACCAATGGTTTGCAAACCGTCGTTTTCCTATCCAATTTATACACTTTTCTAGGCATTTTACCTGTAAAAAGCACCAATGAAATTGAATGTTATCGAACAAATATTAATAGAATTACCTAAAACGTGGTCCAAATTTAAATTGAACGGCACATTCTTCTGCTCATCGTCCAGCGTGAGAACGACCCTTCCGGTATCGGTAACCTCTCCTACAAAGTTAACAGGGCACCTCTCCCTCTTGCAGATTTCCTTCAAAGTACCCATATCATCCTTCGAGCATAATAGAGCGTTGCTCTCTTGATACTCGGCTCCCCACAGTTCCAAAGAGTTAATTGTCGGATCGCCCAAATCGAAGCGATTCGCGTAGATGACACCTCCAACCGGCTCCACCAATTCCTTCAGAACGTTTCCATTTCCCCCGGCGCCTTGATCGTGAATGCTCAAAATCGGATTCGATTTTCCAGATTCCAAGCAGGCTTTGACCACGCGATTCAATTTGTTCTCCATTTCGGCGTCTCCACGCTGCACAGCGTTGAAATCTAATTCGACCTTATTGTCGCCCTGCACCTCCACCGAAGAAGCGGCTCCACCGCCGACTCCGATCCTGTACACCGGACCGCCGATCTTCACGATTTGGTTGCCCACCTCGGGTTTCAATTTGTTCGTCATGTCTGCTTCCATCATTCCTATTCCACCGCTGAACATTATTGGTTTTATCCACTCCTTGCGCTCCCCATCCGAATCCACCATGCCGAAAGATCTCACGAAACCAGCGATCATCGGTTCTCCGAATTTGTTTCCGTAATCCGAAGCGCCATTGCTAGCCTCCACGATGATCTCCAATGGCGACGCAAAGTTGCTAGGATACTTGAAACTACCGTCTTCCCAATCCAAAGAATAACCTAAGAAAGGACCCTTTTTAAATTTCATTTTGTATAATTGGCTTTCTTAAAAAAAATATATCATGAATGTTAAAGTCAACCCGATTTTCCGAAAATTTTTAGTTTGTATAGTTTATGCAATACCTTTTTTGAACAAAAATAGTTTATTTGAGCTATAATTAAATTGAATTTTAAGGAAATACCTGGAATGTTCAAGTTTCCAACAGAATATCCAGCCGTTCCGGCGATGCAGTACCCGCCTCGTCCAACCGATTGGACATCACGGAGACGACCTCCAGGTCCGGTAGTTGCCCCACTGAAGGGAGCCACACCCGTTGGAAAGTTATGCGTCTCAGCGGTAAATGTTAGATCTGTTTTTACCTCAGCAGTTTTAAAGTCGCAAACTTTCCCTGGCTTCGTCGGTCTCAAACTCCTGTGAACGAATCCCTTCATGGCGCTGTAAACAGTCAAAGCATAAATCTGCAAATGCATCCAAAACAATGTCGTAAGTATGTCATGAAATAAATAATTAACAAAACTTAAATGCATTCATTGATCCCAATCGACTGACCTGCTGTTGTCGCTAAACTTGATGACGTTGTTCTGATTGGTGTGATCCTGCGTCCTAATGACCATATCGATCAGAGATTCCTCGTACTCAATACCGTCCACGATCATCTTGCCCTTGAAGAACCAATGTCTGCTGTGCTCGCTGTTGGATTGCGCCAAATCAAAACACTCAACGCTGGTCGGGTTACGTTTCAGCACGTTCTTGAAGAGATCAGTGTAATAGTCCAGATCAGCGGAATCGAAAGCCAATCCCAACTCTTTATCGATGTCGATCAGAGCATCTCGCCCTTTTCCCAGCACATCTACATCTCTGATGTTCTCGAACTTCACCAATTTCTCATTGAAGCTTCTCTTCGGGATGTTTTCCGGTGTGTAGAGGCATTCGGTCATGCGATCAAAAAGCACAGCAGAAACATCAGCACTGATTTTTCCGGTAGATTCGATTTGGAAGCGACGCGACACTTCCAACCTTACGACATTCTTCAGACCCAACGAGTGGCAAATCGAAACGGCGTTCGTTGATTTGGACGTGGAAAAGTTCAATCTCGGACCGACTTCTACTGTCGCTTCTTTCAATTGACTCTCCCTGGTCACCTTTTGCGGCTCAAACGGATTTTGAAGAACCCACTTCAACTGCTCCAGATCTCCTTCGGTCAGAGTTCCGCTAGATGTTTCCACGTGGTAGCATAACTCGGTGACGATAGATTTGATACCCGCGTCTACGGCTTGAAGCCTCTTTAAGATTTCTTCGGCTTTGGCTTCCGTGTAGGCAGGGCTCCGGTAGAAGCGCACAATGGAAGGCTCCATGCTGCTGGAAACGAAGTCGTGCAGTTAGTGTCGCAAAAGCAGAGCGGAGACTGACGTTTCTTAATGGAAAACTTCAGGGGAAAGGTTAAGAAGTCATCGACGCGATAAAAGCCGATTGATAGGATTCAATTGAAGCAGATTACATTTACTACTTCAATTGTGGCCCGCGACAAACATAAATAAAAATCCATTCGTACTCAGATATCTCTGTTATTTTCTCTTTTTTATGAGGAAATACAGATTAAAATTTCGTGTACATTCGAAAGGTCATTCGAATTTCTTTACACATCAAATGTAAATTATTGCTATATCATAAACAATATTTTTTAAAGCTAAAAAATTATGCTATGAATTCAGTAATTCAAAATTGTTTAGTCATTACCAACCATTATAGTAATTACTTTAGGTAAATTGAGATTAGTAGTAAAAAAACTAATGATTTATTTATATTGATTGTATATTCGTTTTGTTTACAATTAAAAAATAAATTACAAATATCTTAAAACTAAATATTTAATAACGAGTAACAATATAAAATATGTATAATATTAATTTAAAGAATAAGCTTTTGTGTCTTTAAGATCTATAAGTCAATTTCGATTTGTAACCGCTGATCATCCATATATACCAGAGGCGGAAAAATACAATATTGGAACTAATATAAATACAAAAAAATAGTGTATGAAAACGGGTAAAGTGTCGTAAGTCGTGGAATTTATGAAACGTTGCATCTGTGAGAAGAGTTTGATGCCGCTCCTGATGTAGCTTCTGCCTGGTATTGTCTGGCAAGAGCCATGTCCATCTCCATTGTGGAACTAGCACTCTGCATGGATAATGCCAAAGCTCTTGCTAAAGCTTCATCCTCGCTCTAAAAAATATAAAATTAGGATATAGTTTCTGTCTTCAGTAACTTACAATGAATTTTGAGAACTTTTGATAATTACCATATTGCCTTGTATACCACTAAAATCGTTTCTTGGAGGATTATTAGTTTGACTAAAAAAAAATTATATTAATAAAATATTATCAAGTAATTCTAAATTCTATCATAAATTTGTTATGTTACAACAAATTGTAAGTTACAATCTAGATCATGGTTGACACTTACTGTATGACTTTCCCCTGGCATGCATGATCCGATGTATGCCTATGCTTCAAGCAATAATTTTTCCTGCAGTCATTGCAAATAACAGGAATGACTTCCTTGGTCTTGCAGCCTTTCTTCGAACATTTGTTAACAAAAATCTGGCGACGATTCTTGGCTGGATCAGATTGGCAATCATTGTCTATATGTGCCCCGACAACTGCATCAGGCTGCTGCCCCCTCACCACTGGAATGGGAATGTTACAGAGTGGACATACTGGCACCTGATTGTTTTTCAAGTAGGCTTTGGGGCAGCTGTGTGTTGTATAAGTGTAATGTTCTTCACTACAAACAAAAAAGTTAATAGAAAAAAAAATCTAATGATGCAATAACAAGATTCTTACCAAAATATATTATTGCATGCATCACAAGTTATTGGTAGAAAATCTAAAATAGAACGCAATTAATCATTAAACACATCACTTTATGTATATGTAATTCAAAACAATGCATTAGCAAAATGTAAACAAAGCGCCTTTGCAATAATCAAAGTAACATACTTTTTTGTTTGTAACACAATGTAAACACTTTACTTACCTAACCTCTTGCAACTAGATTCGTTGCACTGTTTTCCAATATGCGGGAGCTCCATTTCGTATTAATTTTGTAGAATTTGATGATTTACTTTTCAAACGCGTTAAAAAAAGTAAGGTGGAAAGAAAAACAAAAAATGGGACGTCTTTATCCAATGACAATCTGTTATGAATTGGCAGTTTTCTATACGCTCCCTAACAATTTATATGTCAAAACATGAGTCATGCGGATTCTCGTCGAATAGTTTCGAATTGTTTCTGCAAAAAGTTCCAGAATATTCTTAAATTTCAAGTATTTATAAGAAGATATGTTAAATACTAATAAATATTTAAAGAAAACTATGAAAAATAGATAATTTTGTGGTAATTAAATGAAAACGCAGTAAATTAACGCGTATTTGGTTGCATATTTTCATCATAATAGACTACTCACATGCATCCATTTTGTAAAATTTGAAATGACATTGACTGTAATCAGCACATTTCTACAAGATAATAATTCTAGTTTAATAAATCATAGAAGAATTTTTGTAATAATTTATCATAATTCATTTCACAGTACTCGAAATGAATTAACATTATGATTGAAAATAAACACTGTTTTTTCAGGTTTTCAATACATTCTATTTGATGAAATATGAATCTGGAATAAAAGTAAATATTGTCAAAAATGACAATAGTCATAATATGACTCCGGAATGCAAAGAGCAATACAAGAGTTGAAAAGATATTATAAATTATTTGCAAAATCATTCAAGTTAACTTGATTAAATTATTTATAACTAAATTTTGATTTGAAAATTAGGATTAGATTTTAGGCACTTTTATTATTTATTCATTAATCTATAGAGTATACAACCAATGTCCAAATTAAAGTTACATGACTATGATAAAAAACTGTATTAACGTAAATTTCAGAGATCTGACAACATTGTATTGAACTGTCTATCGCGCATTGTCGAGCACGCAGACATATGACATGTCAAAGTACTCACCGTGTATTATTTAATAAATAAATAAATTTACGTATAGGAAAACAAACTTGATCACTTAGAAACAACGTGCAATCATTTGTTGTGTGGTTTTTTTTTGTATGGTCAAGATCAAGTGGAGAAGAACTAAGAAAGAGAAAAACAAGGCAGCCGAAGGGTGTCGAGAAGTGAAACAATAGGGAGCCCCTCTCTACCATTTACATAAACTATGGAACATATAAAAACCACCAAGGTAAGAGAACCCATTTTTTGTGTACGTTTCGTTTTATTGCGACGAACCTGGAACATCGAGATTCTGTTTTGATTTTTTTATGGTGTTTACGTTTCATTGCATTGATAACAGTAAATCTCAAGTTCTGATAACACTAGTTTTTATATGAAAAAAATAATAAAAATATTAAAAAAAAATCCATTGTTTTTTTGCCTATTGAATGAAATAACTTTGAATTGAATTAAACTTTTCAATTCAGTTATTTCATTTTTTGATTTTTTTACAAAAAAAAAACACTTGATAGTTATAAATGAATATTGGTAATTTAAAATAATCACTAAATAGTTAGGGTTAATTATTTATTGCAACACAAACTTTTTTCTTAGATGCAAACATTTCAATTAGAACATTAAAACATCTTTGATAAATTGATAGACAAAATGTTAATGAACATATATTTTTATCTTTATGCAAATATTTTGTGTAAACAATATGCATAATGTTTTTTCATGAATTCATTAAAGTACGTAAAATGTATAAAATAAGGTAATAAGGTAATATTATTTTAACGACATCTCGTAGAAATTAATTAAACACACTTGTTTACAGAAGTAAAGTTTTGTTATTTTTAAAACTGATAAAATATAAAAAAATGTCGAAAATGGAGGTATAATCTTAAGTACTAAATCTCTCTTAGTTTGAACGCATTCCGTATTTTAGGAGTGGCGCTGATATTTCTGAATTGTTCGTTGTTTATTTAATAATTTCTCGAGTCAATGAAGTTACGTTACTGTTGCGTATTATTTTTGTGGTTTGATACTTATTCTACACTTATTTTCACAGATTTCGAAATTGTGTTTTATCTGTTGATACATACTCGAAGCAAATACGATTTGTAATTTGTATTTAATATTGATAAACATGTCAGTGCGATGAGCGTGAGCAGAAATTGCAACAAAATGTAACTTTGACAAATCGGAAAACAAGTTTTATTTGGTTAAAAGTTGAAATATGTTTATATCTAGTAGGTGTTATCCATTTTAACAATCGATTGTTTCGCCTGCCTGCTTATCCTTGTGATGGTGCAGTTTTGTTTTGTTATGTTTTTCATCTATATCTCCCCTCCGCTGTCACGGTTCTTGTTCTTCCTTCTCTTTTTCTATAAATAAGTGCAAAGTGGATGTGGGTGAATAGGCTATGACCTGCGCATTCCTGGGAGGGGGACGGGATTTGCGATGTTGGAGTACGTAGAGCCGACGATAAATGCAACACGAAAAATATTAACAAATTCGCCGTCGATGTACGTGAAATTCAAATCGTGGCTGCTGCAGCAACAGACCGCAGAGGCCGGTGGTAACACGGCTGAAACCATCTGCGGAACCCTCGTCAACTCCAAGGTAAATCCATCTGTACCATCCATACATCCATCCAACACAAAATCCATCAAACTTTATAAAGTACTCCTGAACGAAAAAAAGGTAAAATTCAGCACTAAAAGAGTGCAAAATCAAGATTTTTTTTTCGGTTAAAGATAACCTAAAACACACGCCCGAATTTGCTATTGATTCGGTTTTGCAGACGCGAAAACATTGACGAAGTCTCGGATGCTCTCACAGTATTGACTTTTTTTCCAACTTCAAAAGGATACACATGATTCAAAACGCTGTGCATACTATAAGAAACCCAATGGCCGAAAAACATATGGCGAAAACATTTGCATCCAACCAATAGAAATCCAGCAACTCTATAAAACCAATACGACGCTACGTTTTATTTATTTTGTTTTATTTTTTTGTAAATAAATCAGTTTCTGAACTTCCAAAATGGAAATATGCAACAAAAAATGAGGTCTAAAAAAATAGTATAGCCAAAACATCCATGGCGTTTCAACGCTTCCCATTGGTTCAAACAAATAAAATGGCTTAAACGACCAATCAAATTAAGCAAATTATTCAGATTCAGATTTTGCGCATTTTTAATTACTAAAAATATATTACAAGAATTGTTGATTGAATCTGTGTAATTGACGTCACGTTTGTATCCGTGAAACGCAATTTCAAGAAACAGCTCGTTTTAACGCTATTATTAAATCAATCAATAGATGTTATTTTGACCAAGTGTAAAATGAATGTTACAATAATATACGTGTGTTCAAACAATGGGTAAGTCTACTTTTGTAAACGTACAAATTGTATTATTGCGTGCACGAATTAACTCAATTCAGTAATATTTCGTGTCGTGTTAAAAAATAATATATGGATTATGAATTATTTACTGTACAATATAGAATTATCATGTCTTTTATATATTTACAAACGATGTAATTAATAGATGCGATTAATTATTAATAAATATGAATTATGGATGTTCTGCATGTAAATGTTATCATTTTTGTTATATTTATAAATAGATTGAAAGATTGTGCAAGAGCTTTCTAAAATTGCATCATGAAAGGAAACATTGGGGCGCTGCTAAACAATCGTTTCATTAATAACGTGTTATCTTGCTGGAAAAAAACGATAAACTTGTATTTTTAATACTCTTTGCTAGTGGAATGAATAAATGAACAATTGCATACAAATATAGCATTCGATAATGAATTGTGTATCTTTTTTGTTTTTCGACTTATCAAGGTTGCAGTGTAATGAACATTAAATATCTAAAATGTTAATTAATTATTTTTTTTTAAATTCAAAATTAACTTTTTTTTCGTTTTTCAGTTGGAAAATGTTCGTATGTTAGATCGTTACTCGAAAACACCATTGATTGGAACACTATTTCTTACAACATCACATCTCATCTTCGTCGATCCCGAAGACAAGAAGGAAACATGGGTAAATATGTTTTCGAGTTCTTATTTGGAGTTCTCTAAGCTATTGTTCTGGGTCCATTTCTTGAATTGAGTGTGTGTATTTCTTTCAACAGATCGCTATAATGCACATTGCGAATCTGGAAAAGCTTCCTTTGACCACAACAGGGTCACCGCTTTTGATCCGCTGCAAGAATTTCCTGTCGGTGACGTTCGTGATACCCCGAGAAAGGGATTGTCATGACATCTATCTGACGTTGCAGCTGTTCTCGCAGCCCAGCAACGTCGAAGATTTGTACTGCTTCACGTACAAAGCGATCCCCGCAAATATGTCGCAAAGCACCGGCTGGGACTTTTACGATCTGCAATCGGAATACAAGAGGATGGGCGTACCGAACGACCAATGGGGTTTGACCAACCTCAACAAGGATTACGAGGTACCATTTCCATGATAACTTGTGCTTTTCTCATATTTTTTGTTTGTTTGTAAGTTGTGTGATACTTATCCGCGCCATCTGCACGTGCCGCTCTCGGCCACGACGACGACTCTGATGGGTAGCTCAAGGTTTCGCTCGAAAGGACGTTTACCGGTGTTGTCGTATCTTCACCACAATAAAGCAAGCATTTCGAGGTGTAGTCAACCTTTGTCAGGCTTTAGCGCGAGATGCGTCGAGGATGAGAAGATGTTCAATCACGTGCTCAAAACCAATCCGAATTCCAGTTACATGTACGTGGTCGATACGAGACCAAAGGTAGATACGGAAATAAGTAAATGAAGCCGGAAGTCAATTCTAACTGATCAGTCTTGCAGATAAACGCGTTCGCCAATAAAGCGGCAGGAAAAGGGTACGAAAATGAGGCTTTCTACGAGAACATCAAGTTCCATTTCCTCGGTGTCGAGAATATACACGTCATGCGGAACAGCTTAGATAAAGTGATCGAAAGTGAGTAATTATTGCTTTACTGTTTAATTTGATCGATATAACTTATTTTACTTTTTGCAGCTTGTGAGCAGAAGAATCCAACGATTAATAGTTTCCTGAGCGGATTGGAGTCAAGCGGTTGGTTGAGGCACATAAAATCCATCCTCGACACGTCCTGGTTCATTGCTCAAGCCTTGGAGGAGGGAATCAGCGTCGTCGTGCATTGCTCCGATGGTTGGGACAGGACCGCTCAAGTTTGCTCTCTAGCCTCGATTCTGCTGGATCCGTACTACAGGACCATTACCGGATATCAAGTAAACTAGTTTTAAAACATGTAAAGAACCTAATTTGAACTCAGAAGTTTTCAAGGCTCTGATTGAAAAGGATTGGTTGGCTTTCGGGCACAAATTCTCCGAACGCTGCGGGCACGTTCAGAGCGACAGCAAGGAAGTATCTCCAATCTTCACGCAACTTCTGGACGCCACGTGGCAGCTGATGCAGCAGTTCCCATTAACATTCCAATTCAACGAGCGCTTTCTGCTCAATCTCCACGACCATGTACATTCGTGCCAGTACGGCACCTTCGTCGGAAACTGCGAGAAGGACAGGCTCGATCTCAGATTGAGCGAACGCACCTATTCCCTTTGGGGCAAAGTCGCACGCAACATCAACGAGTTCTTGAACCCTCTTTACTCTCCAGAAGAAACCACCGGACTTTTAACACCCAATCTGGTTCCGCAAAACATTAAATTCTGGAGAGGCATGTACTGCGGTTTCGAAAGCGGAGTGCATCCGCGAGAACCCATAGGAGATATTCTTCTGGACACGTGCGATCACACCTCTTCTCTCGAGGATCACATCAAATACTTGACCAAGGTAATTTCGATCATCAATAACTAATAATTTGCAATTAAAGAACATTCCAATTGCAGCGTATCTCTTCGGTGAAAGCTTTGCTTCTGAACGCGGATAAACGCAGCATCGAGAAGAAACCGGACAACACTAATTCCACGGACAATAAATTCCTTTATGAAAAAGCGAGTCTTCGGGAGCTCGAGTCGGCGGACCACGACCATCCACTGAAGTTAGGCTCTGAAGATAATCAGGGGAGCGATGCGAATGAGAAGGTCGGCGAAATCACCAAGGATCTCAATTCCGTGGCGCTCGACTGGAAGGCCGTACGTAGCGTCACTGAATGCTCGTGCTCGAAAGCCTTCGATCAGTTCACAAGAAAAGTATATAAATAAATTCATAAAAAAAACACAATATTAAATAATACTCAATTCTAGTATCATTGCCGGAAGTGCGGTGATATTTTCTGCATGAGATGCATTGACCAGCAGTGCGAACTTCCGGGCCACATGAGCCGGAAACCGATGCCGGTCTGTCGGCCCTGCTACGACAATTTGCAGACCGTCTCCTTCGATGGACCAGAATAAATGCTGTGCTATTGCGCTCTTTCATTTTTCGCACTTAATGTTACTTTTGGACTGACCGAATTTGGGGAAGAACTGTTATATATACGCTCGCTAATCAAAAAAAAAATAAGTAGAGTAAAGAGAATTATTTTTTAAGTTCAAACCTGTTGGTTTCTATTCTTAATAAGTTTAATAAAATGTTAAATAAAATGTCTTTTTATTTTCTTTTAATCCTAAATATAAATAAATCTGGCTTTTATTTAAAAAAACAAAATTTGTGAGTGATCGACAAAACATGTCATAAATTTTATTGTGTGTTGATGTAGCCGTAACAAATATTTAAAGAGAAAAGGTAATTATTGAAAATAAATTGCTTATTCTTAATAAATGTTAATTTTTAATTTACATATCCAAATACAATTATTATTTTTATTAGTTTATAGTGTTTACAATAGTTTATTTCCTTATCTACGACTTACTATTTCAGTAAAGAACAACAGACTATTATTGAAAGACTAATGTTTTGTAAATAATTTGCTTATTCCTTCCCGATAACTCTTTCATCTTGAAATATATTAACATTTTTAATATTGTAGGAATAGTTTTGAGATTACAGTCGTAATCTTACAAATGTTTATTATATCAAGTTACAATTATATATAGTGTCTTAACATTACTAGCGTGTATGTGTGTATAAATCTATTCAAAGCTGCCAATACATCACTTTTAATGAGATTGAAATATACAAACAATGGAAGTTTTTTCTTGCATCTCAAATAACGAATGGTTAGCAATAAATAGAAACTAAGGCAACGTAAACGACTAGTTATATAATGCACTCAGCTTTCTACTGACTATATTTTTTTTACTGATTTGACTCAGTATTTATTATCTGCAAGAATTAAAGTTACATCAATAATATTTATTTTTGCTAAAATAGTATAATTTATTTTAATCGTTGTATTATTGTAAATTTAAACAATAACTTTGATTTGCACTAATGATCAAATTATCAGGAATTAACAAGTAAAACTAATTAGTTTAATATTGTAATTGGTATTTTAAAGTTTTAAGGAAAATAATATATGAAGGATAATTTGCTAATTGAAAGTAAAATGCAAGAAGTAAATTAAATGGTAGTAATTAGTGTGATAAGTATTAATTTAAATGTTAGAATAAATTTTATGTGTTTCGTTATAGAACGTGCACTGCTACAAAAAGGGGTAATTGCAAGTAGTTTAACGCAATACTAAATTGAAATGTATTAAATGTCTCTGCTAAAGCAAGGCAAAGGAAATAAATTGGAGCATCAACCTTCTGAATGGCAATTGCTTACCATTATTTTTATTATTAACAACGGATAATTACGAAATTATTATCGTAATGTTAATGGCTAATGTAGATAATTATATGCTATGCTAAGATTGGACGCAGTTCGATGTGGATTAGAAGCTGAGACTCGGCTCATTCCTCCTTTCTTTCTATATTTTTTTTTTCTTTGCTTTGCCCAGCACCCAACGTTACCCACTGATCTATCTTAGCGCCCCGGGCAACACGGTATATATCCAAGCAGTATATATCTTTCACTCAACCTAGTTTCTTTCGTTGTAAATCGCGAAGGAAACATTCCTCGAACGGCGATTATTTGTAATTGCAATTGCGATGTTCTCTGCGTCCGCACGCATCTCGAGATTCAAATATAAGTATGGTTATCAATGAAAAGTTTTTCCCCTTCGATTACTTAAGCTTAATTAGTCAATGGATGAACGACGACTTACGTATCAGATGTACCGGTTTTCGTTGCGTGGTCTTCGGATGGACGAAATCCAATTGAACGGGTGTTAAGAAAATTGCAGATGTTAATAACGGCACGACACTCTGGGTAAACAAGATCGTTAACCATGCGGACGCGATCAACAAGTGCGCCTGCTTGTTGTCGTTTAATATTTTTTCTTTTCTTCTCGTAATCCTGCAACAATTTGATGATGGATGGGTTGCCTAATGGAGATAGGAACTTCCTTTTTTTTGTGGAAAAAAGGGGATTCTTTTTTCGTTCGCAAACTGCGAACATTTCAGGTCTCCGTTTCCTCTGGTCGCAATATCCTTAATGTGCGAATTTCCTCTCGAATGCATTCACGTGCTCACGTGCTCGTCTTGCGTAAATTTCCACGTATTGAATGAAATAACAATTTTTCATTTGCAATTTTGTAACCCCGTTTGTATTGCATAGTACACACATTCTTTTGTTGTAATGTTTCAATGTTGAATCGTTTTTTAATTGTACGTTTTCACAGAGTCTAAGATTATCTTGACAATTCGTTTAGTTCTATTCGATTGTTTTAATAACCGCATCCAGCTAAATCTATAGCAACAAAAATGCGCCCACAAGAAAATTCATTATTTTTAGAATATTTCTCGTTTTTTAAATTTATATTTTTAGTTGATTCTTTTCCAAACGATTCATAAATGTATCTGTAAGCTAATATGCATAGACATACACTTTTTTGACAAAGGTAAACAAATTAAATTGTATACTTATTGTACAGTGAAGATATTCATGGAATAAAATATTGTAGGTCAGGATTTGCGATTCGCTAATGGAGAAAATGATTGATTAAGCTTTTGTTGATTGTCTTTTGTTTCTAGTTTCTATAGGAATGGAATTTCCGTGGAAATGGATGGCATGATATAAAAAGTTAAAGGTCTGATGCGGAAGATCGCAACGGAGTACACCCATACTATAACGAGCACACATAAAATGTGGTTTGCATGTTCAAGAAAACGCGGTTGAGCTACTCGTAAATCAGACATTAATCGATATGCCGTGATGATATGACATGGGACATGGAAATGCTATTATCGCATGCACGAGGACCAAAACGGCAGTTGCTGCAAAATGACTACCGCCGCTGGTGATGCCCTTTACGAGCTCCTGGAAGATCTCAAAGTATGCCTACATTTGCTTCAATCAAACAAATAGTTTCATCTTTGTTGTTGTTGTTGTTTCAGTTCACTGATTACAAATTGGCAGCGTGCATCAATCGTCTGCATCGGTACCTGAATGAGAACGATCTCACGATTATCAAAAGAAGCGATCAGGTAGGTGACGAACGCAAAAGTTTAGAAGATTTGATTGACAAACTTGATTCAATTATTGAAGTCGAGAGAGACATTTCTGAAATGCCGCACGTTTTCTATTTCGAAAAAAAAAACATATTTCCAATACACATTAAGATGATATAATTCGGTTATTCAATCGATACATTATTCATATTATACTAAACGTGCACGTATCTTGTGAACATTTTTTGCACTCCTCAATACATTGAATATATAATTTACATTTTTTTTAAAATTAGATTTAAGATGTTGTTCTTGGCACTTTTGTGGATTTTTCTTCTTTATTAGATACAATATAAAAAGTTTTCTTAATTAACTATTGCCAAATAGAATTCGAATGGTATTAAAATAAATTCAAGTTATTCAAATTATTCAAATTATTGAAATTATTTAAGTTATTTAAATCGGGAATAAGATCTAAACGCTGATCTATATCGTGATGGTGACCAATTTCATCTAATCGGTGGTAGATCGGAATGTGATGGTGATGACCATGATGATGATGACCGTGATGGTGATGATCGTAATGGTGCGGCGATAAGTGATGATGATGGTGACCATGACAACTGTGATGATGATCATAACCATGATGGTGATGATGTTCGCAATCGTGGTGATGATGGTGACCGTGGTGATGGTCGATGTGGTGATGATGGTGACCGTGGTGATGATCGTCATGGTGATGATGGTGTCCGTGGTGATGGTCATCATGATGATAATGGTGACCGTGGTGATGATCGTCGTGGTGATGATGACAACCGTGATGATGGTGACCATGGTGGTGACCATGGTGATGGTGGTGATGACAGTCAGTTGTTATGGATCTGGCGAGTTCGTTGAAGTCCGGGGCGTAGCGCAAAATGCCACCCAGTGCATTTTCGAGGTATCCACCTAAAAGGCCATTCTTTCGCTTTCCGCCCCCGTGTTTCGTGAATGTCGCATGTGTCGCACATGTCGAAATCATCAAAATCACAAGACATTTCTGAAATGAAACCAAAAAAAAATGTAGATTATGTAGTAATTGTTATTTGTTGTTTTACTTACTACAACGTTCATTGCTGACAAAACACGATGACTGCAGAAATAAAACCATTTGCGGATGTTTTTATACGATGGCTCAACGTAAATTACCAGGCGCTTCCCGATTTAATAACAAACATTAGATTCGTATTTTCATACTCCATTTCCTTATTTTCGAATGAAATTTCTAAACGCGATATGTATAAAATATGAAATACAAAGACGCACTCATCGTCACGAGTTACGCCTATAAAAATTTCTGTTTGTTTTCTATGTATTATTTCTATCACGGTAAGTATAGACGTATTTTATTAGCTTCATATTCATTCTTTTCCAAAATTCTGAAATATTAATTTATAAACATAAATACAAATTGACATAGCCTCCACAGAAAGATATATTAGTAAATCAAATAAGTAAGGTGTGTTTTATGACATACGATATTATAAAATTGAAATATTACTACTCTAAGATTATTATGTGAAAATTGACATAAATTAAAGGAAAATATTGAAAATATAGTAACGCTAAAAATACTATATCATGCTAACATAAAGTTTGATTGTCATATGGATAAAAAGTGATCAGGTGGGATGGAAAAAGCGTATACAGTGGAACCTCGCTTAACGAGCAAAATAAATTGTAAAAAAAATTACTCGCAAAATGGAACGCATTATCGTATATTACATTAGTTTATGTGGTGAAAATTGTTTCACTATACGAGTAAAAATCCGAAAATTTTCGAATAGATTATGCTAGTTAAGCGAGGTTCCAGTGTACTAATTATAGACATTCATAGATAAATGATAATTGATCTTATTCACATGAATCATAACTAATTGGACTAGATCAAAATGCTAACTACTAAATTAACTTAATTGAGGTGCAATTTTTAATAGATTTGAGCCTGATCTGCGTATGCGAAAGCCTATGGAAAATTCCAAGTATTTTTCAGAGAAGTTGCTAAAGAAGTAAAACAGTTGCCATTCGCTTTACATTTTTACAAAAACAAACTGAAGGCGTTCGCTCTAAATAATAGTGATCAGGCGGGATGAAAACGAAAGAAACAAAAACAAAAAAGTAAAATGAAAACGCACTGGTCTGAGAACAGCACATGAGTTGATTCGGCTTTTGATGTTGCAAGAGTGTGGTGCTCTGGTTTTCATCTCACTCCAATTGGCAATTTGTCTCGTTTAGATCTCATAAGATTAATTGAATCGGCGTGGTAATGTCAAGAGTTGAGGAACTTTGCATGCGCTGGATCCATTCCAACGACCGATAATTGCATGGCATTATCGATTATTGTCATTACGAATGTGTGTGTGTGTGTATATTTTAGTTGTCTGCAACGAGCGCAACGCATATAATATTTGTTTCCTGCCGCGCCTCATGTTGCAACAAGAAGTTGTACGACGATGACGACGACCGAGATGCAAGCATTTTTAATTGCTCTCATTAAAACTAAATAAGGCGAAAACGGCCCAACCGAATTTCTTTTTGTATCCAATCGACCAATGTCACTTGCGCAATTTTGATTTTCAATTGCAATTTATTTTCTTTTATTTTTGGTAATCATATTCGGATTCAAAGAGGACGAAAATCCTTCGTTTCCGATTCGAAAGGCAATAAATGCATTTCAATATTTATTTAGAAAGCGTTATGAAATCTGGCTCAGGAGTGTCCGGCCTGATCTCATTTTCCTTCTATACTTTTTCGTTTTGTTTTGTTTTTGGTTTGTTTGAATCGCATTTGGGCGAAACATATACCATCGATTTCAGTCTTCAGCATTTTCCAACCAGAATGACCATATCGAGGAATCATAACATTCGAATACAGAAATCACGCAAATTTCACAATTTCTTCGTTTCTAGACGACTCGAGACCATTGCATATAGTTGATACAAGATTAGTATTTCCTAAACATTCAAACATTCCATAGAAATTTTAATGGAATATAGATTTACAAATATAATCAACATAGTTTTAATTATTTTAATTAATCAGGATTAACTAATTACAATTAATTATCAAATACATTATATATTGGTCGAAAAGATCAGTTATCCTCTATAAAGTGTTTTTATTCTATATGTAATAAGTACCTATTTCTCGTACATCTTATAGTACCTCACCTCAAATTTAAAGACGATTTATTGAAAAAAATATTTTAATGTGTCCTTCGGACTATAAGACGCAGCTAAAATTTGAGTCCATTTTTCTAAGTGCAAACGGAATGTTTTCTTGTCTTTACTTGCAGTTTAAATTGTTCCTTTTGTTTTTTCTATTTTCGAACCATTTTCTCTGTTGATGATGGACCAAATTTCTTTCTGCTACTCTATATCTATATTGTTTTGCATAATTGATCACATTTAGTTTATACCTCACGTTATATGAAAGTACTTTTTGTTACACGCTCATTTTTTCTAATTTTAGAATATTTTTTTTAAAGATTTATAAAAGTAATTCAAATGAATCGTACAAAAGCCTTATACTACATTCAGTGGCGTGTCATATTTTTGGACTATAACACGTATCTCAAATTTAGATACGATTTCAATATTTTAATGTTATCTTCGGACCATAAGACGCATACAAACATTGAGTACATTTTTTCTATGTAAAAGATGCGTCTTATAGTCAGAGAAATAGGTACATATAATAATATAAATAAATAAAAAAAAGTTTAGTTAAGTCCGTGTCGTAAAAATATGGCTGTTCCTCTAGGACTAGTTTTAGGTCCATACTAATTTAAATAATAAATATTATAATTTGATTTATATATAGCAATAATTATATATAGGTAATGCTGAATAATGAAACAAATCATGTAAGATGTTTTTATGTTTCAAGAAGTGCTTTTATAACGTTACCTATATAAAAATTAATATTCGTTAGAGGTTTCTTCTGTAATGTGTTTTATTTATTACCTGTAAACATAAAAATAGAATTAATAAAACTTTAATGCAATATTAAAGTTACATACATTCGTTTTGAAATAATTATTTAAAATTAAAAAAAAATATTTAAAAATGATGATATTGAAATAAATTTAATCAATATTTAATGTGAATAGTTTCATTTTACGAACCTGATTTGTAAGTATCGATATTTGTAAAACGAATCTTAACTGTAAACAATTCTTCTTTCGTTTTTCAATCGATGGTCATAATTATGTATTCTATTGTTATTCAATGTATTATTTGGTCCTGATTCGAGAATAGCGAAAAAAATTAACGACTGTCTTCCATTATTATCGTTTTTTCTTCTTCTGTTTTGTCAAAAAAAGGAAACTCTGCCTGAATAAATAAAATTGCTACCATTTAATTTTGATCGTTTTTGATTTTTTTTTTTCATTTTTCGTGCCTCCTCGATATTAGCATATCGTCGTCGTCCGACGGTGATTGTGTCGTTACTGGATTGCATGAAATCCGCTTCTTTGTTGCGTACACATATGCACATATGCGAAATGCATTTAAGTGCGAGAGGGAAATATGTATGTGGAAAATAAAAAAAAATCGGTGCCTTAATCCTATCCTACCTCCTCTCTTAATATGTCAAGATTTACTATATAAAGTCTTCACGCACAGCCTCTTGCATCGACAGATACAAATCCCAAACATAACAACAACAACAACATATTGTTTACATACAACAACAAAAACAACAACCATGAAACTCACAGTAAGTAATATTTGATAAACTAAGCCATTTGGGAAAGTGGGCTATCCAATTTATTTAATTTTTCTTATTTGTTATTATTACTGTTTTGAGTGCAAAACGTTGCAAAACATATTACATCTAATTGATTTAATGTCGAAGAAAAAAGTTAGCAATAGTTGAGCAAAGAAATTTGCACAATTTATGAATTAAGAAATTTATCATATTGCAACTCAGCTTTGTCAAGTACAAGTTTCCTAACAAATTATATTTATTTAATATATCGAATTTTATATTCTTCAATAAATATTGAACAATTTGAAAATATAAACAATCAAAATATAATATCAAACTTTAATATTTTTGTCTTCTTGGAAAAGAATATACAAATTTTGTTATGTCAAATATTTAGACTCTAAATTAATTATTTTATTTTCACAAAAAATGTTTGCTTCTAGTCTTGAATGACAATTTTTGCTAAAATGCATTCAAAGTACAAACACTATTTTTTTTTGAAAAATATAAAATCGTCCAGAAACACCTTCCAAGCATTTGACTTTTTAACTTTTTATTTTATAATTTCTATTCTATAGAGTTATTAATTTGTAATTTATTGATGCAATAAATATAATTATTATATCATAAAATAATAAAATTTCAATATAGTGAAAAAAATCATTTAAGAATTAGTAAATCATTTTTAATATTTATGAATTAGTTTTACTAAAGATGACAAAAATACTAATAATGTAACTTTTTTGGTGATTAATTTGATTTATAAATATATGTGAATGAAAATTAAATTTATTATACTATACTTATTATGTGATATTAGAGATGGATTGTGCGCAATCTGATATTAATTGTTGTGTGATATTAAAGTAGTGAGTATTTTCTATTAATCCAGGTTTAGGTATTGAATTTTTAAGATTGTGGAATATGGAGTGGTGGATGATTAAATTATTTGTTTTAGATTTTCCTGTTGGCCATCTTCGGTTGCGTTTTGGCTGAGGAGAAGAAACAAGAGAAAAGAGGTTTGCTGGGTTTGGGATACGGAGGTCTGGGACACGGTGGAATTGGAATTGCTGAACCGATCCACGTTTCTGCGCCGATCAGCATCGGTTACGGAGGAGGAATCGGCCATGGTTACGGAGGAGGAATCGGGCACGGTCTCGGAGGATTAGATTTAGGATTAGGACATGGATTAGGGCACGGATTAGGTTTGGGATACGGAGGAATAGGCCTTGCAGGACCTGTAATTAAAACAGTCGCTCCAGCTCCGATCTACACGAAGGCAATCGCAGCTCCGATCATAACCAAGAGTATCGTCTCAGCTCCGATTGCCTACGACGTCGGTTACGGAGGAGGACACTTAGGAGGAGGAGGCATTGGATACGGCGGCATCGGCTATGGAAAATACCTCCACTGAAGACTACGGCGATGACGAAGATGATGATGAACAGCAACATTTGTACATAGAGAGACTTACAGTATTTTTGACTTCGATCTATTTGAAATAAAGAAAATTTGAAATCGATAAAAAAAAAGACGGCGTTTCTTTCTGTCCACTTTCTATTCTAATATTATTAAAAAGTGCATCGGAAAGGCGAAACTTGGCCGGGAATGCAGTCAGCGTTTCATTTACCAGCGACAATTTGGTGCAGGAGGCCTTTGCCACTTGCTACAATTGTACATATTTCCATTTTTGATTTGGTATTCCCTTTTTCATGTGTTAATGAATGCAAATGTATGCGCGACGCGACATCTCGTATGTTTTATTTTATTTTTTACGTGACAAAATTTATCGGCCGTTTAACTGCGGCACCGGGAGACAGTGAAAGTGTTGCTGGAACTAATTTAATGGAATATTAGTAAAAACCGACAGCGGGAGGAAGAAGTAAAAAATATATTATGTTCGTCGTAATTCTATTAATAAGAACGCGAACGAAGTTGGGGAAACGGAGGAAGGGATAGAAAAAAACTTTCTTCGCTTCTGTGTAATTGCAGCGGCTTCGGTTTAGTACGTGCCTTTTTTCGATCCGTAATGAATAGAAATTCTGTTCAGAACTGCGGACCAATCCGCATGGAAAACTTTGTTGTCGTTTACAAATGATAATAACAATAAATATGCGAGAGGATTTTAATATACAGGATAAATGGTAAACTCCGAACGAACAAATCTGAAGAAAAATCATTTTGCGCAATTAAAACATTCAATCTCAATGAGCAGATCTCTTCTCTTCGTCTCCTTGACGGTGACGTTGAACACGTTATTTTTCAGCTTTCATCCGTAGACCACTACAGAATTTTGAATTTTTGGTAGTATTGTTGAACACGACTGACTGTTCTAATTGTTGGTAGCACCGTAGACCACGATAGACTTTTGTAATTTTTAGTAGATAATATCAGTTTCTTGTAACTTTTGGTAGCACCGCAAACCACGATAGATGATTTTAATTTTCAATAACCGTAGACCACGACAGACTTTTTGTAATTTTCAATAACACTACCACGGACCACGGACAAACTTTTGTTAACTTTTTGTAGCACCGTAGATCAGTTTTCTGACATCACGGACTACTAAATTCTAAATTTTGAATCTCGTGGACCATTAATATGTTTTTTATTTCATAAAAATAAGATTCTAAATATGAAATGGTACTTGCTCTAAGCCGGTGATGGAGAATCATTAGGGAGATATGTATTAAAATTCGGAAAAAAAAAACTTAACCCGAAGAATGGGTATATGTAAAAACATACCGTCCCGTCTGTCATCAATTTTCCGACCTGGGAGTCGCAATCCACACTTTGAGAATCAGTGACATAGATCAGAGGTTTTGGGTAGGGGGGTCTACTTACCTGATATTGATTTTTTGTAAATTTATTATTTATATTGGGACATCTTTATAATTATTAAGATCTTTGCTCTGAAACTGCGCGTATGCTTTTAACAAGATGATACTGGTATATCATTATGTGCAAGTTTTTACAGTGTATTTTGAGATCCACTATCTTGGACCCCCATTTTTATTTCATGGACCCCCAATTTTTTGTTTCGCTGACGTAGACCCCTTGCAGATTGTCATAGACCCCTGGGGGTCGATATAGACCACTTTGGAAATCACTGACATAGATGATGCCGGGGGAGCTTGACTTCCAATATTTTTTATATGTGATAAACATTCTAATATTTTATGGTGTGTCAACCAAAATATATCACCGTGTCACCACCGTGTCAAAGGTTCGCTTCACTTGGCCTTTTATAAACATGGAACGTTGCAAAATTGCAAAAATATAGAACTCGAATATAATACACATGAAAATTTCAACTATATTCAAATTACTCTGTGGACCACCGGTTGGCTCTAGACTAGCGTAGACGTTTCAATTTTCCGTACCACCGTAGACCACTACAAACTTTTTCAATTTTCGATAGCACCGTAAAATATTTCAGACAAGCGGTAGTACTAGACTTGTATAGTCATTTAGCATATATTTATAATGATATCATTTACCAAAAACAGCATTTGAATTAGCAAAGTTCACGATGCAATCAAACAGAGTCCAAAACAGAGTCAAACGAATTATCTTTCTGGTCGCATCGCGTTCAAATGCAAATGAAAAAAAAGAAGTAATGCGTTAAGAATCAAACGGAGGCGACTTAAATATTAAGTAGATTCGTTCGAAGTCGCGCACTTTCTTCGCCGATAAAATATATAGTATGTACGGCGCCTATTGTTTACCTTAAATATTAATTAGAAACAACCGGGCCTTATTAATAATCAACCCTCGTGGCCGAGCATCGACCGCTATATAAAACCGAAAAGAAAGCGTCAGGGACCGTTTGTTAGTGTCCGGAAGTCTAGCATGTCACTAGTCCATCATCATCCAACGACGACGATCTAAGAACCTAGAAATACGAATTTTATAGAAGATACACGCAGATAATGAGGTTCCTCGCATTGGTGAGTATTGCCGTCAGAAGAATGTCGATCGTTTACTGAAACTCGTTTCTGTTCCACAGATCTGTTTGTTGAGTGTAGTGTTAACAGTGGTGTTGTGCGACGGTACTTTAGATGAAAACAAAGAGCAGGACGAGCTAAGTCCGCTGATCGACCAGGATGATAGAGAGAAGGAACACGATAAGAGGACCATCCTTGGTTTGCATCAAAAAGGACTTCACGGATGGGCGAAACACGTGAGGGTGCGCGGAAATCACAAGTATGTGGTTGGATTCGGACCGGTGGATTTGAAGTACGTTCCTGTGGTAAAACCCATCCTCCTAAAGTCCTACAACAACAGGTTTAGGTTCAGACCGAAACCTCAGTGGAAACCCAGACCCATTCTGCCTAGTAAACCGGTTTTGCAGAGCGGATGGACTCCGATACTGACTCCTGCACATGTACCAGCACCACCGCACGTCGACGTTCTTCCATGGCAATCGGAAGGTTGGACGAAACCCGGAATTCAACAACCACCGAAACCTGAAATCAAACCCGTTGTCCATGTGGATCAAGTGCATCACGGAGATCATCTGCACCATCACGGAGATCATCTGCACCATCACACCGATCATCTTCATCTGACTCCAGTAAATGTAGTTAAACCGGTCGTCCTGAAGCCTGTAATCCCGAATCACGTACACGAAATAAGTCACGTCCAGCATGGACACCACGTAGATCAATTGGATACAATCAGACCGGTCGTCCAGCAACCGCAGATTTTCTACTACAATCCATTGGTACCCATCCAGAAACCGCAGCTTCCTGTTCTTCCTCTCGGCGCTCATTTCCCATCTCCCGTGTTAACACCAACGCATTTCCACAAAGTACCTTTTGTACCAAAAGTACCTATCGTCCCGCAAATACCGCTAGTCCAAAAGCTTCCAGTGTTACCGCAGTATCCAAGTTGGCCGCATGTCACCAAACTTTACCCTCAAGTACCAACTGTCCTCCAGCCGCAGGTCCCAATCGTTCATCAATACCCTCAAGTATTCCATCAACCTCAAGTCCCAGTAGTTCACCAACAGATACCTCAAGTCCCAGTAGTTCATCAGCAATTACCGCATCCCTCGATTGTCCATCACCAAGTCCCGCAAGTGTTTCATCAGCAAATACCTCAAGTAGTTCACCAGCAAATACCTCAAGTAGTTCACCAACAAATACCTCAAGTAGTTCACCAACAAGTACCTCAAGTCCCGATTGTACAACACCAAATCCCTCAAGTAATCCATCAACAGGTACCGCAAGTAGTCCAACACCAAATCCCCCAGGTAATTCATCAACAAGTGCCACAAGTCCAACACCAAATACCTCAAGTTTTCCAGCACCAAACTCCAGTAATCCATCAAATCCCCCAACCTCAAGTACCGTCAATCCATCAAGTACCTAACGTCGTGCAGCAGGAACCCGCGCTCCCGAATCCCGCACAACCTCCACTATTTAATCCAGTACAACCCACGCAAAGTCCCCCAATTCATCCAGTCTTCCCATTCAACTACCAACCCATCCCTCCAAATTTCGCTAATCCCAGCTTACAATCGATCCAAACCGATTACCAGCAATTGGATCAAACCCAGCAACAGTACGATTATCAAACGGAACAAAATCAACAACAGCAGTACGATTATCAAACGGAACAACATCAGTACGATTATCAACAGCAGCAGCAGCAGCAAGAAACCGAATACCAGCAAAACCAAGCATCGGGACAGATCAATCCCATCCCGAATTACGTTCCAGACAATTACGAACAAGACGTCGAAGGTCATCCTCAAGATGCTCGCAACTATCTGCATCAGCCGCACTTCCACAACCCAGGCAACCCCGAGGACCCAATCAATGATCCGAATCACACGGCGCAGCATCCCGAAGAAGCGCTGAACGCCATCCATCCAGGCAACTCCGACCTACAGATTCCCGAATACTTACCTCACCATCCCAACTACCATCCACAGGATTACAATCAGAACGCATTCGCATTCCCCGACACTTCCATTCAGAAGTAGTTTAGTTATTTTATTTATTAATCGATTAATATTTATTTGTTATTACTCTCTCTATTGTTATTGTTGTTTGTGATAATACTTGAAATAAATGCAATTAAGCTAAAACGATGCGTTTCTTCTTGTGACGATTATAATATAGAACGTTACGGTCGGACCTTGATCCAAATTGGCGGCATCAACGATCGATGCGCGTTTCCGAAAGTCTTCGCATCGAATTTATTGTAATTGAGTGCACTTGGATCAATGTGGCGCTTTATCGGCGATTCATTCGCAAAGGGAAAACCAGACGGAGAGAGGTAGACGTCGTGAGAGAATTTAGAATTGGAAATTGCCGATTTTTAAATTAGAGAAATTCAATCTAATTCATTCCAACAAGGTTATTTCATTTCCATTATTTACAAACAATTCGAACGATTTTAATATTCCAATCGATTTATAAATACCATATTGTACATATAAATAACAATAATAATTGTTAATATAATCTAAATATTAATAACAATAAACACAATTTATTGCTCATACAACATGCTAAAGATGACTTTCCGACAAATTTAAATAAGATACATTCAGTAGATTTACTTAGTATTAAATAATAATCTAAAGTGCAATGGTAAGACCTCGCCCAGGAGAAACTGCCTTAATAATCAGGGTCAAAGCTCTATCTCCCAATCAATTTATTTCTTTATTTCAACGTAAATTTTAATCATTGATTTAATATGATATAGATTATTTATGTTAACTTTATTAATTGAGTAAGGATGTACAGCAAATACTTAAAAATGTTAATTTAAGGTATTTGAAATAAATTATGTATTACATTCGCTAATGAATAATATCGATCAAAGCGACTAAAGCATATTTATGTTTACTGATCCGAAACTTTTTACTTGTTAATTGGCTTTCATATTCAATAATTAAACAAATTCCTTTCATTAAATTATTAACAAGCCATTTGCACTAATTGTAACATAAAATTTTAAGATTTGGTAAAAGATTTTTTTATGCATTTTCATCATTGTTTTATTTTATGAAAGAATATTTTTATTTATTTTTTGGACTTAACATTAGATACAATCTAATGCGATCAACAGTATCTTGTAGTTTAATTTTAACAGGATTAAAAAAGATTAGATGCATATTTATTTTTATCGCCCTTATAAAGTTCTTTATTTATATTATGTATAAATTGTGAATTGTTAATGTTTTTTTAAACCTGTGAAAAAAAAACTTGGAAAAGGAATGTTGCAAAATGTTTGGTTGAAACAATTACAAAATACACGCAATGATCCGTCGCGGCGAACGAACGTTTTTTCGCAGAATTTCTTGTGCAGTTTGTTATAAATTTCTCCTCCCTTTTTGGAAATAACAGAAATTACAGCGGTGACGGCTTTTGCGAAACGGACGAGGGCGGATTGATTAAATTATAGATAGGTAGGTAGGTAGGAAACGAGACAAGCCAATTTAGAAATTGTTGTAAAATTAAGTTCTTTAGGGGAGCCATTGGCGCGTGCAGCCGGGCCATAATATCCGAGACATTATTATGGTTTTATGTAATCGTTGGTATAGCTTTCGCGTTGAGGCTGCCACCGACTTTGAGGAAGAAAAAAAAGTTGGTGGGTATGTGTGTACTGAGCGTAATTCGCGGTTTCTCAAGGAAGACGAAAAAAGGAAAAGGAGCAAAATATGGAACAGAACCACCCAATGGATGGATGCAGTGAGAAAAAGTAAGCTGGGGCACCCTTTCTCCTCTATTGTTGGCAATTTCTGGCGGCGATGGAAATTGGTTTAGTTGAGTTTATCGGGCCGATCGATCAACATTGTCATAGATGACTTGGTGAACGAGAGATGGTCTACTGCGCGAGGGGTCTTCTGGTGCTGGTCCTGCTGGCCGCCGCCGTTCTACATGCGCGGGCCATGGAAAAGGTGACGAGAGATAAACGGACCCTGGACCTGGTGCTGAGAAGTGTCGCCGACGTTTTTGGGTACGACGTACAGAAGAGGCCGACAGTCCTGCCACCGCCTCCGTTGCCGCCCGCAAAACCAACATTCTTTCCGCCGCCGCTAAAGCCCTTGCCACCGCCTGCTAGGAGGTTTTTCCCTGCTCCCAAAGCTGTAGCTTCGCCTCCTCCAGCTCAAACTCAAGCTCCTGCCGCTGTCGCCCCTGCTGCACCAGCTCCTGCAGTACCACCTGTAGCTCCTGTTGCACCAGCTCCTGCAGTACCGCCTGCAGCTCCTGTTGCAAAACCTCCAGTCGCTGCAGCACCAGCCCCTGCAGCACCGGTTGCTAAACCTATTGCTGCAGTACCGGCTCCTGCAGCTCAATCACCAGCTGCAAATTCACCGATGCGAAGACCGGTTATGAGACCTCTGAAAGCTGTGCCAAATACACCACCTGCCAGACCTCCACCTCCTCCAAGACCTACAGTTCCTCCACTGCTTACTGAGAATATTAGGAAAACCTTCAATATTGCCTTCAATTACAACAGAGGAATACAAACGCAAGCTCCACCGGTTCCAGCAGCTCCTCCAGCACCACCAGCGCCTGCAGCTCAACCAGCTCCACCGCCGCCGCCATCACCCGCAGCTCCAGCTGCACCACCTCCTCCGCCGCCGCCACCGCAAAGACCCGTAAAATCTCGACCCAGACCTTTCAGACCTCCTCAAGCTACACCAGCAAAACAACCGCCACCAACAACAGCCATACCTCCACCACCGCCTCCTCCGCCAACAACAACAAAAACTCCTCCACCACCACCTCCAATGAACCTTCCGCCTCCACCGCCCAAAGCCCCGGTTGCGCCAAAACCAGCACAGCAAACCGAATACGAAGACGACGAAGATTACTACCAAAACTACGATAACAGAGATAACGAAGCGTACTACGATTATGCAGACGCAGAACAACCTGCCCAACCGGCCCCAGCAGATACCCGGGTAAATTATGAAGACTCGAAGCAACGATTTCGGCAATCTGTGGAGGCCTTCTGGGAGGGATCGCCCTGGATCCAGCAGAATAACGGCTACAAGTACTTGACGAACCCCGAGGAACCTGCAAAATACGAAGAATACGAGCTTCCCGAAGAGTCGCAGCAGAAGAAGCGCAAGTACCCGAAGAAGGCAATCTACGTAAAACCGCAATATTACGGCACTCTTCCTGCACCGTTGCATCAATTGGACGGTAAGCAGCATCCCGGTGCAGCGCCGTCTCCCTTCGACGCCGAATCTGCTGCAACCGAGATCAAGGCCCACATCCAGGAGGCGCAACCGGTTGTTTCCAAATACGTTCCGGACAGTTACGACGCAAACTTCTCCTTCGAGATGCCCGAACCGCAACCCTTCAATTATACTCAGCACGAACGGCTGACTGCTTACGAAGACTCCGACAGCGATCTGTCACCGAATTCCCATCGCAGTGAATCCCAATCCAACAAGCACATCATGTTTGTCAGCTCGCAACCAAACATTACCCAGACCATCATCTACTGAATACAATAGTCTTCATCCAATACCATTAATAGAAGTTACTCTTTAGTTGTCTTTTGTTATATATTTTAATAATTGTTTGTATAAATAATGAAATAATAAAAAAATAACTATCATACACCGAAGTTCTCTATGTAATCTACTTTATCCAATACCAATATTATTTATTTTGTTGTACATTTCAATAATTGTTTATTCTTTTGAAATAAATAATGAAATAATAATAAGAATAACATAACTGAAAGGAATTTGTTTGCTTCAAACCGCAAGACTATTTTTCTGCTCCGAAAACCACATAATCAACTGTTAAGTACTTTCTTTTGGGAACGCCTTTGCTTTGGGAACGCAGTCAGTTACGAAAGACCTAAGTGGTTTTGCTGTATCTAATAATATCAATCAATTTCACGTTTTTCCACTTTCAATTCAAAATTAGAAATTGCATTAACTTTTTATCGTTTTTGATATTAAGCAATTATTGTCAATTTATCAATAGATTTGATTTAAATATGTGATCAGTCACCACAGCTTTAAAAAATAAATAAAGGAACCACATAAATTATGCAATGCGTCTCACGAAATAATTATTAGAGCATTGAAATTCTTTTGAAAACTGTTTATTTCGTGTTAACCGCAAATTTAGAAATTAATTATGTTGTGCGTGATAATGATGTCAATTGGAAAACGAAATATGAAAAAAAAGGAAATACAGAACATTCCAATTGTATTATTTGTAATATTTATAATCTAGTCATTTTTTAACACTTAATACATTAATTTTCGAATATAAATGATTCTATTGTTTAAAAAAAAATCTTTTGTTTTCAGGAAAAGAAATCCATTGGTGTGCAGGTGAATTTGACTGATGAGAATCTATTTGAAGACAAGTAAGTATTCTTAGTTCCGATTGAGGGTACAACGAAACATAGTAGTAAATAAGTGGGACCCGGGACGTCCGTAAATGGAAATCGTGTAACGTTGAACATATTTCGCTCCTATTACAGAGCATTTCCGTTAATTATCGTTCCACTTCTTCGATAATTACCATGCGTATTCGTTTCGTTTAGGTAATATTCAGATTTGCATATGGGGTAACTCATTATTATTCAAGATATAACTCATTCATTCTACTTAATCAATATTTGTAATAAACTTCATTCATCAATCAATTAATTAATGTTGAGATTATTTATAAATATTTTATATTCTGACAACGACAATTAGTTCAAATTTTGTTCATAAATTTTCTTCTGATTTATTTTATATCGTTTATATAAGAATAGTAGAAATAATGAGATATTTAGAAAGCGACTGCGTAAGAGCTTGATAGAATATATATGTATATATAAATAACTGAATGAATGAGTCCGGCGCTTATTTATAGCAAAAGCAGTTTTCATGACACCGCTTAATTGGTGATAGTAAAAGTCACAGTCATTGAGTTATTCTGTACAATTCTTTATTTATTTTATCAAATCAACGCGGAAACGTCCGAATCGAGCGCAAGCGCTACTCAGTGGTTATCGGCGGAATTTGAATTGCGATTATCTCAGATAAATCGATTTTTTTTTCTTTTTTATTTTCATTTAATAAAAGTAAAATGCAATCAACTTTCAGATTTGGAAAATGATAAAAATAATCGAAGATTTTTAAGCAAATTTCATTATAATTAATATAATTTCATATTAGATATTCAAGTGTATATGAAAATTCGATGAAATAACTTTTCTTATTTGTTACAGTCTCTCGGATATTTTTGCAAAACTGAAAACGGAATTGGTAGGTTTGCATAAGCACATCCAGGAACAGAACATGAAATAAACGTGGTCCATTAACCATTTAATTATCAACAGAGAAAGTGCATAGAAAAAAGAAAAATAAACTTAACAATATAATAAGAAATATATAAAAATATATATATTGTTGCGTTTCCTTAAAAGCGTCAATCCTTCTATCTTTTTATCGATTTAATTGGGGTATGTCTTCGTCAGGAATTGATGCATATAGTCGTATACTACAAGCATTATGGCGCCACCAGGTCCGAGCCTCAAGACTTTTGGTAACAACCCTTTGTATAGAGCCAAAATGCTAAAATTTAAAAAAAAAAACTTAATTTATTAAACCAGTTTATTTTTCGTTTAACGCAAATTCATACCCTTCTTCCTTGTAAACTAAGCACAATGAACCTAAAGTCGATTTATACTTGATGGCACCAGGGATGGGCTGCGGTCCTTGGATCCTCGATTTTGCCACGTCGAAGGGAATGTTGATGCAAGAGGCCAAAGTTCCAGACACGAAACCGATGCCCACCTTCCTGCCAAACTCCTTGTACGGATCCTAGCAAAAAAAATTGAATATATTTAAATCAATTGAAAAGTGCATGTGTATTCGTTTCATTTACTTTGTATTCGGTCATGTATCCTTTGACGGAATGGTAAAACCCGAAGTAGACCATATTGAATACTCCATTTCTTGAGATCGTCGCCGTCACGCCCTTATTCAAACCTCTGAACCCAAAACCTTGCGTCCTCACAATGTCTTTGGTGACCAGCCAAGTACTCGGAACTTCCTTACCTGAAGCCCTATTGGCTTGCATCGTTACTTTAACCACTTCAAAAGGATTCACTAGAATCGCTTCCGTGATACCAGCACCTAAACCGGCCAATGAAAAGGTCTGAAAATACAATTAAATTGAACTAGTTTTGTTCATTCATCAATCGATAATAAAAAAACATGTTTAACCAAAAACTGTGTTTAAAGAACAATTAGTAAGTACCAGCGGCGTAGGAACTGGAGAACCAAACATGAAAAATTGCTTGTACTGTTCAAAGGTGAAGAATTTGACAGCGCGTTTCGGAGTTTCTGCGAGGATAGGTGGTAAGATTCCCTTCCAAAAAGAGAACATTCCTTCGTGCTTATACATCTTCTGGAAGCAATCGACGATACCACTGTAGTATTTTGGGTCATTGCTGGTAAGCACAACATTGGACTGGATCTGAAGACGAGTCTTAACCAAGTCCAGAGGATGCATTATGCACACTTCAACAAAACCTATAAGAAATTGATACACAATTTATACTATTCATGTAATATGAAAATACAAACAATTATATTGATGTAATAAAGAAAATAATATGCAATAGTTATAATTAAAGGATTAATGATTGTATTTTTTCATGATAGTACATATTTAAAATAACTCAAGAATTTTTATTTTTTTTTTTTTTTTTTATAAATAGAGATTTATATCAATTTATTTATTGATATAAATCTCTCCGGCCCTATTTCTACCCCTTTCGGGTTTAACAGCCACCAAGAATTTTTAAAATAATGCGATTTAAATATGATATTGTAGGTAACCAAATATACATGAGTGTGCGCAAAATGTACGCACAAAAATATAACCAAAACAAGTAGAATTTCAAAACACCCACTTGAGATTACTTAAGATTTCGAGATAACTACTACTTTCTTATTTGTTTTGTTTAATCGTATAAAAAGTTTCACGTATTTTTCTTTAAATTTCGAATGTTAGAGATACTTAATTGAGTAAATAAATTAAATAAATAGAAATTAACCTGCCGATCCGCCTGATCCAATCTGAATTAGGGCCTCCTTCATTATCTTTCTAACGTCTTCCATTGCTGCTTCCTTTCTCAATTACCATAGGTACCTTACTAATTGCAGATAATTGAGTGAACGAGCGTAGTCGGATGCGCAAAATGATAAAACGCTGACGATGCAAGGCGCGATTCGATGAAAATGGGACAGGAGGTGGAATGACTTTAGAATTTTAATATCCTTATCGGAATTCAAACATCACCGCCGATCATAGCATTACATAAATTCAGCTCAATAAATATTAGATGAGCACTGTGTCAATGTCATGCGGTGCGAATGTGGCGGCATACGTATGCGTATTTATGTATGGTATGGCATGAACATGGGTATGAATAGTGCGTGAGATTGAAAAACGAGAGCAAAATGACAGCGGACGTCATTTTAGACATTCGCATGGCGCTGCAGTCGATGTTTATCTGCTGGAAAGTACATAATTCCAAGCTTTAGTAGTAGTAGTAAAAAGAGAATTTTACGAAGGGGGAGAAGAGAAAATATAGCTGAACCAAATGCACTTTCCATTTTGGCGGATCGATCAACAATTCTAATTGGGGCTACAATAATACATTATTACTATTGGGATTTATTCTTTCTCTCTCGTTGAGAATAAGAATTATGTTCGTACGTTGGATCAGCTGAGTGTGCTGCGGGGAGGTCGGGTCGAACTGCTATGCGCCCGTGTTATCCTTCATAGTTCCTTTTTTTTACATCCTTCACCACAATAACAAATGGAATTAAAGATGGTGTGTGCGGACGTCTGTCACTGTCATGTTGAAACGAATCGATGTCTGATGTAAACATGTAGATCAAACGTCGATTTTCCTCATTTTCAAATTTGAACGTTCTTTAGTGTTTAGTGTTTGTGTGGTGGGCGGCCGCGATGGGCTCGCAGACGCTGGAGATTCTGAGGCAGGGGGTTTGGGCCTCCCTCACTGGTGGTTGGTTTTATGACCCCCATCAGGATGTCTTCTGCAACACTTTCCATCTATACCTTTGGTTGTTCCTGCTCTGTCTGCCATTTACCATATATGTTGTAAGTATAAAACACACAAAACACCTCACTCAGATCACCATTTTTCAAAATCATGACCTGATTTCAGTCTTTTCCACCAACGGATTACATGTGGTACTGCTACTGTGCTGCGGTGGCAGCAGCCCTGTCCATTGTAAAATTAGTTAATTACGCTTTGCATCACATGTATGACACCACTGAGTGTATTCAAGAGCAGGTGGAGGAAAGTTGGACTGGCCCCAAAAGGTTTGTTTCTGTTTACACTATTAATTGTACATTTTGACATATCTGACTTCCAATTAACTGTTGTGATTCTAGAGAGGATGAGGGCATTGAAATGCAAGTACTGAAAAAAAACACTGCCGAGTTGCCTAAAACAGCTGCTTCCAGTTCATTGGCATCTTACAATGATGCTGGAATACTAGTAAGCACTGATGTAGATAGTCTTGAATCAGGGGAATATCTAAGGATGGATCCAGTTGATGAGAAACAAAATAGTACAATAGGTAAAAAATAATTATTTTATATATTATCATTTGTACATTATGGCTTTTTCTCAACGATTTAGATTTGAAAGCTGAGGTTCACAGAAAGAACTCGTCTGAGAGCAGTGACGAGACGACGACTCAGCCGATAGTAGGTGTTAATTACAATTCGTACAACGAAATGAAGAAGCCGGAGCGAAGCAGAAGAAACAAATCGAACAATAGTAATAACAACAATAGCAGCAGCAGCGGTAACAACAATATTGCTATTGATAACGGAGGTTGCGATTCGAAGGAGAAGGATTTGTCGAAATCTGTGACAGTGGCGGCGGTGGCGACACAGCAGGAATCTCAGGATGCCTCTACTTACAGACAGAGGTCTTCTGCCGAAGGAGGTGTAAGCAGCAGCGGAGAACGCAGGCACTCCAATTTTACCAATACTAGTTTAAGTTACATAGATATTAAGCCGACCGGCTCCTTAGAACTAGGATACATAGACAAGAATCCGAATCAGTTGACGGCTGAAGGATTCTACTTGAGGACCACTCAAGGCGTGCGAAGAATCAGGTCTACCGCGTTGGAGACTTGCTGTCCGCCGCCTACTCTCACCATTCACCCCAACAGTTTGGAGATCATCGGCGGCGGTGTAAAGACTAAAAATCCTTTGCCACCACCTAGCTCGTCGCTCATCCGCAATCAACATTTGAACCTGTGCCCATACTACGGCTCAGAAATTGTGTATCCGATTGCGGAGCAGTCAGATGAGCATCAGACCTCGCACGGTCCCGACACTGACATCGATTCGGTAACGCACATCTCTGATTCCGATTATGAGGAGAACAACCGCGGCAGCAGATCGCCACTGCTCTTGAGAATTGATCACATGAACTGCATGAAACTGGTGCATCCTGTGCCGATATATCACTCTGAGAACAAAGACGTTTCGATGGACACCAATGACAATTCGAATTCAAGTGCGACGCCTGAGATGCACGATGCCCGAACCGAATGTTACGACAGCGACAAGAATATATCCTGCAGTAATACCAGTGTCGAGTGCGACGAATCGCCGAAGATTCAAGAACTCGAGGATGATGGTGAAGTTAAAGTGTATACAGGTGCGATTAAACGTCGAAATTGCAAGAGGAACCGCAAGCGAAAATCTGAGGAACCTTTTAAGATCAAGGAGTCAGGCAGTTTGATAGAATTAGATTTGGACTGGTTGTTCGATGACGAAAACGACCATTTGCGGCATTGCAAGGAGACCCGCACACCGGCGTCTCTGGAACAGGATGTGAGTAAAGTGTTGCAGGAGACTGTCCCACGTAATCTGGGAGCGATACCGAAGAAGATACGCATCGAGAATATGGGCGAGGAAAAGTCGCGCAGAATCACGAAGTGCGAGTCGGAGCGAAGCCAAAGGAGGAAACCGGAAGATAGGAATTTCACTAGGAATAGATCCGTCAAAAAGGGTAAGGTCACTCTAGCGCTGCAGGAGAACACGGCCACAGAGGGTTTGGAATGCTTGGTGATGCAGCCCAGGTTCCGAAAGTTGAGCGTTCCGAGGAGGAGTTGCAGAGGCACGATGCCAAGGATGCCGCACAACGAGAACTACCAGGAGGCCTCATCAAGCAGTTCCAATAACGAGTTGAGCACGCTACTGCCGGCCCCACCTTTATTGCAGGCATTCCTAGTGTCACGACGAGAATTCCCATTACTTCCGGTTTGCCTTCCTGGTGATATCAATCATGCGAGTGAACTGTCCAGACATTGCAGACTGAAAAGAAGCACGCGCGTTAATCGGAGCAGACCATCGACGAGGGGCAGCTTGAGAATTTCGCAGAGGGACACAGCCATCGCCACGACCTTGTCCTCGGGTCACGGTACGCATTGCGCCAAAAACTTTAACGATACCAGCGATGGTTCTGTTCACTGCTTCCTGGACGAGCACGGAAATTGGGTTACATACACGTTCGACGAGAAGGGAGTCGGCATTGCGAACCATAATAATAACAACAATAATACCTCCAGATCTTCGAAGAACAGTGCGGAATCTGTGATGTTGGATTCGAAGATTACCAGTATGATACCAACTGGTGTGAACCAGTCGCGAGTGCCGATCACTGATGGTCATCATAGACTTCACATAAACTTTCCCAACGAGCCGGCTCGCCAGCAGCAAATTGAAACAGACGGTGCTCTCTCGGAATTCAACGACATCTTCTTTATACCACCGAACGGTTACAAGTTCATCGAGACGGAAGTTCATCCTAGGACCAAAAGTTACTACAAGTTTAAGTTGTTTCCATGGGTGAAGATCACGTTCGACAGGCTGAGGCTGTTGGCTCTGCTCGACCGAAATCTGACATTCACGGAGACCATGTTCGCCACGTTTCTGGGAGTTCTGGTTTCAGTTTTCGGTTCTTTCTTACTGCATCTGGAATTTTACGATGATTTAACTGCATTCATGTTCTGCTTCATCATCGCCAGTAGCCAATACTCGTTGTTGAAGAGCGTGCAACCGGACGCAGCATCGCCAACACACGGATTCAACCGCGTCATCGCGTACTCTCGTCCCATATACTTTTGCTTGTTCTCCAGCATCGTCCTACTGATTGACCTCGGGATTAAGCAATCCGAACCTTATACAGCTTTCGTGCTTTACGGTGCCAACATCAGTAACAAATATATCCTGTGCTGTGTCCGCGACTTCCTAGTTAATTTCATACTGTTCTTCCCGGTACTCTTCTCTCTTGGTCTCTTCCCGCAGATCAACACATTCACTTTATACATCCTCGAGCAGTTAGATATGCACGTGTTCGGCGGCAACGCCATGTCCAGCTTATCCGCCTCGTTTTACTGCATCTTTAGGTCCATGCTATCTGTGATAATTATGTACGGGTTCGCGTACGGCGGTTTGTGCGAACCGAAAAGTTCCCAGCATATCCTGTTCTCTATCTTCTGCGCTTCCTTGGTCACCATTTCCTATCACCTAAGCCGCAGCGCGAGCGATCCCAGCCACATCTGGAATATGCTGAAAAAACATCTCTGGCCGCCGGACGTTTACAAGGAGCACAAGAAACCACCCAAGGAAGAAACCGTTGCGAATGCAACGGCCGAGAAAACGGAGAGTGGCGTCGAGAACCAGAAGAAAGAGGAACCCGCTGATCCGTTACCCTTTAAGCTTCAAAAGACCGTCAACGCCCGACTCACCAGTGATGTCTTGTTGTGCGGTTTTATTGGTATTCTTGTCTTCGGAATTCATGCGAGCACCGTCTTCACCGCTCTCCAACCGGAATTGAGTCCCGTGCTTTGGGGTACTGCCGCTGCCTTAGGTTTCCTCCTGCACTATATAATACCTCAGTTACGTAAGCATCTGCCGTGGCTCTGCATTGCACGACCAATACTGAGAACCTGCGAGTTTGACCACTACCAGATTCGAGGCCCTGCTAAGATTATGTGGTTCGAAACGGTAAATTCAAAGAATACTTATTAATTTCAGTTCAAAATTACAATATTTTTATTTGTTGATATTTCAGGCGTACGTGTATCTATGTTTCTTGGAACGCAATATACTCTATCCATTATTGTTCCTATCTGCGTTGACTGAAGAAGCCCCGCAGGTTTCGGAAAAGTTTGGTATTCCTTTAGGAACACTCGTTGTTTGTGTGTGCGGTCTCAAATGCTTGCGGAGCTCATACTCCGATCAGAGCTCTCAATACTTAGTGCTCACCTTCACCGCTCTCTTCTTCAAATACGATTACACGATCTTCCAGGAGAGCTTCCTCATCGATTACTTCCTCATGAGCATAGTATATCAAAAGACTTACGAACTTTTACTCAAGGTAACGATTGTATATACCATTGAAACAAAAAAGTTAAAATACTCTTTTTTTAGATACAATTTGTGGTGACGTACATCGCGCCATGGCAAATAACCTGGGGATCTGCGTTCCATGCATTTGCGCAACCTTTCTCTGTGCCGCATTCTGCAATGCTCTTCCTGCAAGCCTTCATATCATCAGTATTGTCGACGCCGTTGAATCCTTTTTTAGGTATTCCTTATCATAATCGTCTTTGTTTGGAAGAAAGTTATTTTATTATTTAAATTTATAGGTTCTGCAATTTTCCTAACATCCTACGTGCGACCGGTTAAGTTCTGGGAGCGCGATTATAATACTCGTCGCGTAGATCACTCAAACACACCGTTATCTTCGCATCTTGAAAGGAATCTTGGAGCTGACGATAACAATCTGAATTCCATCTTTTACGAACATTTGACTCGATCGTTGCAGCATTCGCTTTGCGGTGATCTGGTGATGGGTAGATGGGGTCCGGTGAACCAGGGTGATTGTTTCGTGTTGGCTTCGGACTACTTGAACTGCCTAGTGCACATCATCGAATTGGGCAACGGATTAGTGACCTTCCAGATGCGCGGTCTCGAGTTCAGAGGGACTTACTGTCAGCAGAGAGAAGTGGAAGCCATCACCGAAGGTGTTGAAGAGAATGACGGCTGCTGCTGCTGCGATCCCGGGCATCTGCCGAACATGCTAAGTATGAACGCAGCTTTTAGTCAGCGTTGGTTGGCTTGGGAAGTGACGGCTGCCAAGTACATCCTCGAGGGGTACAGCATCTCCGACAACAGCGCCGGATCAATGCTACAAGTCTTTGAATTCAGAAAAGTCTTAATTACTTATTACGTGAAGGTATTGTAAATGACTAAATGTACAGAGTGTTTCTTGGATATTTAGGATCGCGCTATTTTATATATATTGTTAATATTTGAAACTATTTTGTATTGATTACAGAGTATGATCTTTTACGCTATTCGATCTCCGAAATTGGAAGAGTGGCTGAACTCTGCAGTGATCATGAAAGCACTTCTCCCGATGCAGGACCGCAATTTCGTGGATCTTGATCCTGTCTTCAACATCAACATCGATGAGGATTTTGATCTGAGCGCTTGCGGCATGACCCGTTCCATGTTCTGTCACGTTTACAGCGAATGGATTACCTTTTGCGTGGAGAAGACTGAGAAGAATATTGACTGCTCTATGAATTCATCCTTGGTCTTGCTGTGCTTTGCGTTAAGTTTGCTAGGTACGCAGCGAATATTATATTGAATATTATTTACTTATTTATTTTATGTTTTTTTTAGGTAGGAGATCTTTAGGAGCCGCTTCCCATAACACTGTGTCCAGCGTGGAGTTCTTCCTGCATGGTTTACACGCTTTATTCAAAGGCGATTTTAGAATTACGTGCACCCGGGATGAGTGGGTCTTCTCGGATATGGATTTCTTGAAAACTGTGGTGGCACCTGGTGTTAGGATGTCACTGAAGTTACATCAAGACCAGTTTATGGCTCCAGACGAATACGAAGAATTGGCAGCACTTTATAAAGCTATTTGTAAGCACGAAGAGGAGCTGGTCATCTCGCACGAGGGTGATCCGGCTTGGAGGAGTGCCGTTCTCAGTGGGACGCCCAGTCTTTTAGCTCTAAGGTAAGGTTCTTATTAATAATAGCTATTATTTGTATTCATTCTGATCGTGTTTTGTAGACACGTCTTGGATGATGGCGCTGATGAGTACAAGATCATAATGCTGAACAAAAGGTATTTGAGTTTCCGCGTCATTAAGATCAACAAGGAATGTGTGAGAGGGTTGTGGGCGGGTCAGCAGCAGGAATTGGTCTACCTGAGGAATCGTAATCCGGAGAGGGGCAGTATCCAGAATGCGAAGCAAGCTTTGAGGAATATAATAAATTCGTCTTGCGATCAACCAATCGGATATCCCATATACGTGTCGCCCTTGACGACGAGCTACGCCGAGACCAATGAGCAGCTTTGTAAGTTGATAGGCGGTTCCTTAAGCCTCGGGAAAATGCGCGATTATTTTTTGAATTTGTTCAGAAGGTGCGTTTATCGTTTTATGCATGTAGTTTATATATTTATAATTATAAAATTGTATTTGCAGGATACGTAAACGGTGCGGTGAAGGTTGCTCCAGTGGAGGGACAGCAGCAAGAGATGAATTGGGTATTGGGCATGAGGGCGTCTACGCTATGGCTCCTATCGGCCCTCTAGGCGTTCATAATGCTGGCAGTCAGTCCACGGACGGTTCTCATTTGTGCGGAAGCATCGGACGCGGATCCAGCTTAAGCAGAACATCTTTAGGTAAGTTGCATTTAAATGAAGTTACGTGATTTAATCTGATGAATATCTGTTTGCAGCAGGTAACAGGGGTAGTTTGGCCTCAATGGGCAAACCGACGAGCTCCACCTTGGCCAGCCTGGCCGGACTTTTCAAGGAGCGCGACGAGAGAGCTGTTTCTCAGACACCGGATGTTCAAGTCAAAAGTGACGAGACCAACGAGTCCACTGAAAAGGAGGTCGCGCTGCTCAAAGTCAAGGTAAGCGTTTATTTGTTTTCTTCTTAGATCCTCTTTGAAACCTGGTAGATATTCTGAACAGAACAAATTTAACAAATGAATAATCATATATCCTTTCTAACCTGATAGACGTGAGCTGACCAGAAAATGTACTATTCAAATTGATTTGTATCAGAGTATCCCTATAGCAGAATCATTGATCGAAGTATATATTTATTAGTGCAGGCGAATTGAAATTGTTTCGTAATTAGATTATTAATTTGTATTTTAAAATCCCGTCATAGATCGTCGATCCAAATGTCGTCTACGATGCCTTAAACCTGGGTCGGAGAATCGACGTGTGCTGGCCCAGCGAGTACATGCGTTTGCGTGGCGGCAGATCTCACTGGCGCGATTGGTTACCGGAGGCCGGAATGGAAGGTCAAGTAGTGCACAAGTGGAGCCCTAGCCATAAGGACCCGAGCCGTAGGTCGAACGTTGAAAGGACGATACTGTTAGTACAAATCGAGGACAAGTTTGTGCCCATCGCCGAAAGTGGGGTGCAGAGCGTAACAGAACTATGATTACCATAAAGGGCGTGATCAGGATGATGATAAAGAAAATTCCATGACTCTCAACATAATGATGATCGATTTCACAATGCAGGGTTTCGTTTAATAATACTATTACTATTATTATTGATAATAATTCATAATTAAATATATAAATATTATAAAAAAAAATGAGAAGAACAAAGAAAACATGAATGAAAACAAATCAAGTGAATAATAATATGTATAGAGTAAATACGATTAAAACTGCCAAGGAGATTTTTTTTGAATCAGTATATGTAATCGTCGGATGAGGAGGAGAAGGTGAGAAAAAAGGCACGGCTTGTGTGTTGTTGTTGTTTCTTTGTCCAAGATGATATTTTTTTAAATGGAAGAAGAAAATAGAAGATTAATATTTTAATTATAAATAAATATATATATATATTGATTGATGGAGATGAACGTTGAATGATATGATTATGATGAAATATATGTATATTATTGCGATGTTGCCTTAAAATTGATAGACTGATTTTTAAGTGTATTTATTTTTTTAAATACCCGAGATTGTACACAAGTGTAAATACTTTATATAATTATATTATATAACAAAAAAAAAACAAATCGGAGAGAATGCCCGCCGGTGAAGACGATTATGATGATGGAACCGAAGATGTCCGGCGTGTTCGCGGAATGTAATTTTATTATAAATAATTCTTTAATTATTGCTCCTAACTGTTATATAAGATTGAAAGTGTTAAAGTATGTGTTTTTTGGGGGGATGCGGAAAGCGTTAGTATATATGTGAAAGAGAGAGAGATGAAACAGAATAATTTAGAAGGTGTTTTTTACTATGATTTTTATTATTGTAATATGTTTTTTTTTTCGTTTAACAACTTTACATTTATTTTTTTGTTTCGCCGATTATAATTTTTTGTTTGTATTCTTACGTTTATTATTACTTTTTCTTTTTTGATGTAACATAATTATTGTATATTTTTTACTATACGTTTTAATTGTTATTTTTATTAAACCGGCCTATTGAGAAATTTATTGTACACTCTATTTAATTACAAATAAATATTTCAAGTTGTCAAAAAAACTCGCTTCCCTTTAATAAACGTCCCATTCCCTGTTTCGTCTGTTTTAAGTATTTGATTCCTACTGTTTGTCAAGTCCTTCCAATATCAGTTGCTAAGGACATCGGAAAGACTTAATAGTTAGTTGTTAATTGATTAGAAAAAATAGTTGCCTGCAAATAAATAATTGTAGTATCAGTAATATAAAGAAGATTTTAAATTTCATTGCAGATCGATAAATTAGTTAATATTGTATTGTAATTACTCTGTTACATATTGAATGCACAAATCGAAAATTACTTTATGACAATTAATCATTACTGAAGCAATTATCGTCTAATGCCAAAATGATACCATTGATATCTAACTCTACTAAAATGTAATTTACGTATTCTTATAATTAATGTTGATCACGCATAAATATTAGGATTTATACAAAAACCGACTTAAAAAAAAACGGTTTTACGTATCTCAACTTGTCTACAAAACCGGTTTTAAAATTTTCAATGAACTAGAGAAAAAGGATTTTTACAATTTATTTTCTATTGCTCACACTCATTCTTTTCTTTCTAGAAATATAAGAAACTCACTTGCTACCAAGCTGGGTTTAATCGTCTTTACAACATTAAATAATCAACTAAATTATGTGTTCTTCTCTTTGTACCCTCTAATACTAAAAGTTTCTTTTTTAGTAGATTGAGGCACGCCAAAGTCATACTCAGGATCTTGAAGATATTTATAAATTGATTTTTTCAAAACAAACCCGATTTCTTTTTAAATAATTTAAATACAATCTTGATAATATTTGTCCAAAAAATTTAATGATCTCACTTTTTGAAGCAAGTGAAAGATATAAGCTAGATGTCTTTGTCTAAACGTTCTGTGGATTTTGTAAATTAACTAAAAATCTTAATAAACTAAAACCTCCCAACTAATTTCAGTTTTCATTTTTTTCAATTCATGAAACAATCACGAATTTGTGTCAACATTTTTTATATTTTCAAACTAATTAAGTTTTATATTTTAAGTTCAAAAATCGTTTTTTTTTGTTTGGAAAAACCAGGTTTTCAAATTACATAAATTTCCTCAAAAAAACAGAAAAAAACAGCAAACCTTAATAAATATTCTACATCGGGCAGAAAAACCTATGGTTAATAACCCTTTGTATCAGTTGACTTTTTTGAAATTATATATATTAATTTTGATTTCTTTATTTCTGTATATGATTTTTTTTGAACGACGCAACAAACATTATTATTATGTTTTTCATTTATTGTGACTTGGCGCTTGCGTGCCAGAAGCTTTCTTTGCCCTGGGGCTCTAGGGCGTTCATTGGCCGATGGATAAGACCTTGATTAGTAATTAAGATATTGATGTATAGATGAATGATTTGAAAAAAAAAATATTTAAGGATAAAACGTAAATTCAAGTAAGACATAACTAAGTTATGTTATGTTAAACTAGATAAAGATTTCAATATTCAAATCGAATATATGAATCAATATTTGTTCTCAATTTATTGAAAATTTAATGATTGGTTAACAATACTGATTTCAGTATAAATTTCTGAAGTATATTTTTTTTCCGCAAGCGCCAAGTGAAGTCCAAAAAGAACTGAATGAATGTGATACGCAAACGCCTGTGAATATACCCTGCTCAATGGAAAGTTTGCTGACCATCAAACAAACGTGTTCCAACCTATCCCGGCAGGACTTGCAGGGAATGAGGAAAACGAGATAATGGAATTTCTGTGGTCTCCATACCAAATGTCACTTTCTATTGCTCAATTTAATGTGAGGCAGGTTAAGCTACCTATACTAGAGTTAAAGCTAATAAAGGCGCCAGGATATGACCTGATTACAGCAGAGGTCTTGAGGCAGTTCCCCAGTATCGGCATTAGGGTAATAACGCTTATGTTCAACGCAATCCTGAGACTCGGTATATTTCCATCACAGTGGAAAGTAGCACAAATCATACTCATCGCCAAACCTGGAAAACCAACGGACGCGGTGTCTTCATATAGACCAATTAGCCTCCTGCCGGTACTGTCTAAACTGTTCGAGAGGCTGTTGCTGCAAAGACTGAAGCCCTGGCTGATGGATAGTCATCTCATTCCGGAACACCAGTTCGGATTTCGTGAGCGATATGGCACTGTGGAACAGGTGCGTCGTGTGGTGGATGTGATTGGCAAAAGTCTTGAGGAGAAGAGGTACTGCTCTGCCGCTTTCCTCAACATCTCACAGGCGTTCGACCGAGTATGGCATGGGGGATTGCTATATAATATTAAAAAGTGTCTCTCACATGAATATTACGTCATATTCCAATAATACTTGACTGGGAGTCACTTCCAGGTCAAGCACAAGGACGTAGTGATCTCGCTACGCCAAATCCTTTCTGGTGTCCCGCAGAGAAGTGTTTCTGGACTCTTCTCTATTTGATCTTCACGGCTGATCTACCAACTCCTCAGCACGCCACTATAGCCACATTTGCTGATGACACTGTTGTTCTAGCATCCCACCAAAACCGAACTACGGCCTCAAAGACCTCCAAAGAAGTCTGAATAGCATAGAACATTGGTTCAGAAAGTGGAGAATTATTGCTAATGAAACTAAGTCGGGCTAATTAGGGCTACACTGAATGACAGTGCCCTACCACAGGCTGATGGTGCTAAGTATCTTGGCATGCATCTGGATCGTCGACTCACCTGGAAAAAGCATATTACCACAAAAAGAAAACAGCTGGGACTGACAGTAAAAAGATTGCATTGGCTGATGGGTAGATACTCATCCATCTCAGCGAAAAACAAAGTTTTAATATATAAAACGATAATAAAAGCAATATGGACTTATGGATTACAACTATTGCGATCTGCTTGTAATACAAGTATTGACATCATACAGCGGTTTCAGTCAAAAACGCTCAGAGCAATTGCCAATGCTCCCTGGTTCTCGACTAACGAGTACATACATCAATACACTTGAGTCAGATTTGTGAAGGATGATATAACAGAACTCAGCAGCAAATACCAAGACCAAGACTTGTTTGCGTGTATGCGTTCGTGATTTTTTCTTTTATAAGCACTCTGTGGAGTTTGATCGCTGGATCAATCTCTAACATATATTTTTAATTTTTCTCATTATTAAGCCCAGAACTAGACATGTTATCTTTTTTATTTTTATTGTAGATAGATTGCTTTGTAAATAAAAAAAAATAAAGTAGCTCAGTAATTCCCAAACACGGACAACCGACTGAAGAAGTAACGTCATACAGATCAATCAGTGAACAACCAATTATATCCATACAAAACGTATGAACCCAATACTTCAACAACGTGCATTACACTGTGGAACAAGGTCACCGAGTTTACTAAAGTTATCACCACCACTCTCAAAGAAACACAATACTGCAATTGTCAGGATAATTAAGAAAATGTTACCATGCGCCTTCTTCCAAATTATAAAATGTTATCTAACAGATGATACACTACGCCAATATAAGTCATCTTTACGACGAGGAAGGAATCTTGTCGCCCGGTAATTTTAAATAACAAAGTTTTAGCACAGGAGCATCTTATAAAATATCTTGGCATGTATTTCGATAGAAAACTCAATTGGAAGAAACATATATGGATACAGAGAATGCAAATAGATCTGAAATTTAGCAAAGTATTTTGGCTGCTTGGAATTAAATCAGTGCAATACACTGATATATTGTTAATATACAAATCAATCCTCAAACCAGCTTGGTTATATGCAACACAGATGTGGGTAGGGTTTGTTGGTTTTTAAAACCAGGTTTTGGAAAAACGGTTTTTTGAAGAAATTTATAAAATTCGCAAACAGTTTTTTTGTCAACTAAAAAACCTAAAACTTAACAATATTTTATTCTTAGCACATATATTTAATTAATAGAAACTATTGAATTTGACAACTACGTGATAATTGTACCGTCAAGAAATTTACTTAATGTAATTTTTGTGATAAATCGTAAATAAAAATATATGTTATACAAAAAACATTTTTTTTTTCAAAATTTAATCATATTGTTAATAGGCCCTTGCTGCAGTTAACTTTTTATTTATAATTATGATTGTATTCAGATTTTAAATTTTATTTTTTATTGTTGCAATAAATATTATTAATAAATAATAATAATGTTTAATGCATCAGTTCAAAAAAATGGATCAATAAAAAAAATAAAAATAAATATATATAATTTCAAAAAAAAGTCAACTGATACAAAGGGCTATTCTTTTTGCCCTAAATATTATTATAATTAAATATGTATAGTTTTTATTCTAATTAAAATTCTTCTCATATTACAAATAAAACATACGAAGTCGACTTAACAAAAGACAATAGAGCAAACAAACAATAAATAAAAGAGCGTCGTTTGGAAAACAATTGCTTGGCGATATATGAACGCGCTGCGATTGAAAATGAAAGAATGGTTTGGTTTTGATATTCATTCACTTTCGCCCAATTAATCGCACCGCGGGGCGTTTCGGCTCGACGGATTCTGTCTTCGGACACTTTATTTATAAGTCTGAAAAAACAGACGCTCGTGGGCATATCAAAGGAGCGCAAATATTTGTACAGCGAAAAGCGACGTTTGGTAGAAGGAGGAGAAGTGAATCGGCATCCCCATCGAAATGGCATCTCTTTTTTTTCTCAAATAAATGAATTAGTAAATATTCTCGAGAGTTTCGTTCGCTTTTGAAGTCCTCCTCTTCGCCACCTCTTTCTCTCCAATTACATACGCACTTAAGAGTGTATATATAGCAATTAGTTTTCTGAAGGTAAAGTAGAGTATGTGCGCGCTTATATATATATACACAAATTTATTGGGTCACACGGGGAATACGCAATCGACGTCTGGGCTCCATTAAACGTTCCATTGTTTTATTACCTTTATTTCCAATTTGGATGGGTTTCTCTCTCCGCTCTTAATCTGATTACAATTAAATTTAATTTTCGCGTGTCAAGTGGACAATAATTAGCGGGACACGCGAGTATCAAACAACCCCGTATCCCATTCCTTCCTTCCATACGATTCGAATTTCGTTTTTTTTTTTGTTTTGTTTGTTACGAAGAACATCAATTCTCGTTTGTCTAATTGCCATTAGGAAGGAAGGAAGTCGAGCTTCTAACGTTCGGACGTTACGTTACGTGTCGTGTCGTGCGGGTATTAAGTAACCCGATGTCGAATTTCGAAATTCGTCGTCTCTCATATTTACTGCGTGATCTCTTTGCTCGCCCATAAATTTGCGAGAATCATCCCATTACTCGAAAGGGAACATTTTACAAATAATTCATTTTTGTCCAATATTTTTTGAATGTCATATCCATCTACGATCCTCGTGTCTTGTACCTCTTCATCATCACGTTCCATATTAATTTAGGTTTACATGATATACCCTTTGATATTTAACTAAAACTTTAATAAGAAATTTCTTACATAAATATGATAATAAAGAAAATCGTTTAAAACACATATGAATTGAATAATTTTATAAATCACTACTTGAATTTGATTGAATATGTGCACTTATCTTTCTTAATTTAATAAACATCAATTTTCACAGCAGATTTGTTAAAATATCAGTTTGTAAAATGGAAAATTTAATTTAAACAGGGCCGGATTTGAGCTGATTGGAGGGATTGCTTGAAGAGTCCCCGCAGCACATCAAAATTTATATATTTAAAAATAGTATATGATACAAAAATAAATATCTCCGAAGATTCACAAATCAAAAGTAAAGCAGAATCACTTGAAAACTTAATGAAAAATTATAAATTTTTAGTGTCTTTGGTTTTTTGGTATGATATACTTTTCCAAGTACACTTTCAACAGCACTTTCTTCATTTGAAAAACTTTTTGACTAAATACAGAAACACTAGATTTAAACAAATTTACGTTCAGGAAAAATACTCGTAGTATACTTAGAAATATCTACGGAATTTCGAAATAAAATGCTTCGGAAAAGAATTATGAAGGCGATGACGAACCTATTATAGATCTTCTAAAGATATCATTTTCAATTTACTTTTAGATGAAGCTAGACATTCATTAGAAGATCGTTTTGAACAATTAAAAAATCATAAGGATTTATTTGGTTTTTTAGGAAGGTTTATAAATATGGAAAAAGAAAAACTAAAAAACAAGCAGCAGATTTGAAAATTGTTCCAACAGTTTCTAAGATTAGTCGAAGAAGTGGAAGCTCTAAAATCTATTCTTTCATCAAAATATTTCCAACAACCATTTAAATTATTTCAATTTTTATGTGAAAAGGACAGAGCTACAGCATTTCCAAACCTATTTATTGCCCTTCGAATATAATTAACAATTCCAGTGAGTGTTGCTTCTTGAGAGAGGTCATTTTCTATATTGAAACTTATAAAAAACTAAAGATCGACAATGACTCAGGATAGATTAAACAGTTTAGCGATGATGTCAATTGATAATCAAGAAGTGAGCCAGTTGAATTTTCATACTATTTTTAAAGATTCTTCAGATCAAAAACTTCTAAACCTGTAAAACATCTCTTTATAGGTTTATTTTCTATAGATTTCAGTTATTTGGTGTTTTAATGTATAAATTTGTCTACCATATGGTTTATGACTTTTAATTTTTATTATTAGATTTTGATTTAAATAAATATTTAAATTCTAATTTAATGGATCCGGTCCTGAATTTATACATTATTTTGTTAATAAATACCTAATTATCATTAATATAAAAAATACAATAATTTAGGTTAAGTTATGATTTTACTAATATATCGAAATGAAACATTGATACACAAATAAATAGTTTAACTATAAATAAAATAACAGTGATTTTTATATTTACTTGCATATTTAACTTTTAAGGTTGGTTATAAAAACCAATTTGTAAACTAGAAAAAATCTATTTTAATAAAAAATTAAATAATATTTGCTAACATACATTTAATTATTATTAATTAAATAAAATACAATAATTTACGTTAGATTCTTTATTGGAAAAAATATTTAGGTTACTTTAAGTTTAGGTTAATAAAAGTTTAAAATATTTAGTTAAAGTTTACTTAAGCATATATTATTAGTATAAATTACCTTAGTTAATGTAAGTTATTTTACTTATAAATGAATTTGATTTGTTTTATTTAAATAATTATAGATAAACGCAAATAACTATTGAACAAGTTTGACCAATTATAAAAAATTGGAAAAGATTTCTTTTAAAATAAGATATAATCATATTCTTTGTTTTGTGTTAACTCAAAATTAAACAAGTAAAAAAAACGAAAATTGAACCAAAACAAAAGTTTGTTAAAAGTTTGCTATTGTCCAGCACCAACAGATGCAATCACCATCATTCTTTTGTCTTCCGCAGCCTGCTACGATTGTTTAATTTTTTTTTTGGGTAAAACAATCGCAGCTGCAGATCATCTCGCTCTCGCTTTTTCTGCGTTCCCTAAGCTAAGGACGCTTGCGCGCAAGGCGTCGCGACGCCCGTGCACCGTTTGCTTTCGTCAGTTGGCGTCCGGCCATCAGTTTTATCAGTCGCTGCTGTATGCGATCTTTTTTCCTCCAACAAAAATAATATATAAAAATAAAATAAAAATATTAAAATATTTTTGTCTGTAATTCTCATTGAAATTTTACATAAATACAAACATATATATGTATATTTAAGTTATACTTAACTTGAAGAATTCGAATCGAGTGCGCGCGAGATGTTTAATCGCTGAAGACGGCAGAAGGAGGACGACAAATTTAAAATAAAATGTGGACAAATTGAAAAACAAACAAAATAATAAATAATAATAGAAAAACGAAACGACGGTAGATAGAATAACATCGGAAACTTGTATAAACAAAAATAGAAATAACCGGTAGCAAAATAAACAGCGGAGCAGACACAGATTGTAAGTACGGAAAATAAATAGGTTTTTTCTTTTTAATTTTTCGATAAATTAACATTTCTTTTAGTATATGTACAATGCTCATATGTATCCTCGCACAGCATCATCCTTCATCCCCATCGTCATCATCCGGATATCGATGTCGCTCTTAATTGCTGACAACAACAAAAAAAAACATATTACAACCACTTGCCGCTCGTTGCCACAGCAACGAAATTCGATGCAACTCTATTAATTATCGCGGACGCAATTATTTCCGTACTCCCAAAAGTCTCTCCCTTCATCATTTTCACTTCGTACACAAAATAATAAAAACAAAAAAAAACTAATTCATCGGAATCATACAAACTTTCTCAAGACTATATAGAATATTTCAGGCTTTTCATCGAACGTCTCTCACGCGACTCTACAATTAAACAAGTTCTTTGTAACTAAAGACAAAACTTTTCACTCGATGCACGTTTCTACTAATCTCCAATTTGAATGTCTGCAATTATCATCTATTATCCTATTAAATTCATTTCCAAAAAGTTAAACAATTAATAACAATTAAGTCAAATGAAAATATTACATTTATTTATAGAATTTATCTACTTAATTTACTACTAACACCAAAATATGTTAGATGTTTAGATCTTTAATTATGAGCAATTTCCTTAAAACATAATTTAATTTATTTGAATTTTTTTAATAACCTCACCTCCAACCTAGTAGTAATAACTTTATTATACTTTCATAAGATTAATTTTGTTTGCAGTTAAAGATTTAATTAAGTTTACGTACATTTTCTTAATTAAATTTTTATGAACACAAAAAATTACTTAAATCATTTTACCAATCCAATTTCAACAGAAAACATAAATTTTAATCTTGAAATATTCACTATTTATTATAACAAATTAAAACAAAAAACAACAATTATATCGTTGTTTTGTAACGTTGTAATAATAAACTAAGTAGTAGTAGCAATTTAGGGGCAATAAAATATTAATTCAGTTTTCGAGTTATATCCGATGTTATGCGACATCTGATATAACGAAGATTAACTGTTTTTTTTGAGTCGTGAATGTTACGATTGGTTCGTAAAAGCAATTACCTTCAAATGGAATTATTTTGTGAGAGAATAAAGATAGCTTTAACATCGTGAGTTTCACTTGAATGGAAAAGCTCATCCTTAAAGAAATCTCCGTGTACGCCGCAACAAGTGTTTTACTTAAGAGGATGATAAAATCTTTTGAATATCTGTATAAAAAAATTATCCGACATTATTAATATAAGAATTTAAACTAATAAGTAGCTTTTATAGTTAATTTTAGAACTTATTAGCTCGCATATTTATCAAAAAGTCCTATAATATATTATGTTATTAATTATTCTTGTCTATAATATTTATAATAAAAGATTTGACCTGAAAAAGTACGAGAGTTTTCGTCATTAGTTTCGAAAATGTATTTTATATAGAAATAAAGACAGATGTAGGAATCGAAACAAAATCTTGACGAAGGCTATCTTTTGCCCTTCGGCGACTTTGATCAATATCGTATTATTATGCAAAAGATTTTGGTATTCATAAGCGAAGAGCATATGTGGACGATGGAAAAGTATTATAGTTGCCTTTATATTCAGAAAAAAAATAACCAAAGGGGAAAACTTTTTCTGTGAATAAGGAAAAATATCGCGGATATCTATGAAAAACAAAATATAACTGAAAAGCAGTATTGGTTGTAAAGGTTTCAATAAAAATTTCCTAAATAAAATTTAATAATTGTAATACTGTCGATTTTCTTTATATAAAATTTAATTAATTATAGATTGGCAAAAGAAATGTTGCAAAAGTTTTCAATTTTTAGCTCAACGTCAGTGATCAAAAGTTATTTAATCTGAGCTCTTATGTTTTTACATTGAAAGTAGGAAAAACTTTCTGTTAACTTTTCAACGTTTCAATCACTTTTTTTTTGTTCTAAGAAAAATATTAAAAAAAAATTGCGTCACATAAAATTCGAGTCCGCATCGATGAGCTAAGACCACATCCAATCAAAAGTTATATAAGCTAAGCTCTTACGTTCTTATAAAGAAATTAGCCAAAAGAAAAAGCAAACATCAAAGAACCGCCATTTTATAATCACCTGCTACGATGAAACGTTCGCATTTTTCGTTTCCTTTTTGATCATTGTTTGCTGCAGAGAAAAATATTCGTATGGGATTCCCTAATAATGTTAATACCGCTTTTTTGATTAGATCGATTCTTGCCGGATTTGGGTTAAGCAACAATCGAGGGGTAAAAAAATATCGCGATTCCGGCACAGAGAGCACACAGGAATTGAATTCGCATTGTTCGTAATTTAATCCACTTGTTTTAATTCCGAAATTTGATGGTAGCAATTGGAAATTCCAATTCGAATCAGAAGTGTTCAGTTTCAATGCACACATTATTCTGTTTCGATTGTTTTTAATCATCGAACGTTTATCAATTTAGTAGAGTATTTACGCAATTGTCGAATTCATTTCAAATTTTGTCGATTTATATTTAAATTGTTTATTTCATTCATAGTTATCCAATTAAATTCAATATATGTCAAATTTTTATTCTGGTTTTGAATGATGATTTAATACATCTTAATTATTTGTCATATACATTTAAAAATCAAAATACCAATGAATGAGTAGTTGTTAAATTAATTTCAATACTTGAAACGTATTGAAATTAATTTAACAACTTCTTCATTATATTTTTGACTGACAAATTTTTAATATTGATACTTTTTTTATATACATTTAATAATCAAAATATCAATTAATCAATAGTTATTTATGAAATATACGATTTTTATTTATTTTTTACTCCTTTCACAGTTGCAAAATTAAATTCAAAATCCGTCAAATTTTTATTTTATTTTTAGGATACATTTTAAACATCAAAATGTATGTGAATCAATAGTTGTCAAATAAAGTTCAAAATCTGTCAATGTTTTTCCGAAATATTTAACATCAAGATGTCCACGACTCAATAATAATCGCCAATTAATATGCGAATGTGTCAAAGTTTTTATTTTGTTTTTAGGACAAATTTGAAATATGGAGATATCTGTGAATCGATACTTGTCAAATTAACGTCAAAATCTGTCAAAAGTTTTCAGAAATATTTAAATAATAAATAGATTGTTTTGAATTTACATAAAAATGGTTGTAACTTAAAAAAATTATGATTTTTTTACGATTACGAACAAATAAATAATAAAATTATAAACTTTTAAAATTTCAAGTTTTCATTGCTTTACAGTTCGACATTTTCGTTATTTTACACGTTTATCATATTGTGAAATAAATAATGACCAAATTCGTTTTTCACGATTAATTAGTAGACGTCTTTAATTTATGTATTTTGGCGTGAGAGTAAATATACAAGGGTAAAGGAGTAATCAGACTAAAACCTCTCCTGCGTGCTATCAATTACGCAATGCAATTATAAAATGACGCTGAAATCAAGTTGCACTATTCCTATGCAATAATTTGAATCATAGAAAAAAAAACAAATGAAAAACAAATATAAGAACATGGAGATTTGATTTGATTCCACTTAATTCGTTCGCTACGAAAACACTTGTGATTAATTCGGCGTTGCCGAAAAATACAATTGCCGAAACGCAGCAATCTCTGATGCAGTCTATTCCCTATTTGTTTGTTTGTTGTCTAGTAAACATTTTCAGATTGTTTCGGTGTGTTTACTACGAAACGTACTTATGCATACACCCATAAAGAGTATTAATCAATCATTATTGTTATCTGGCATTTAAATAAACTCGTGTTATCTGGAGTTCGGTGAGTTTGCTCCAGATTAGCATATAGATTAAATTAACTTTTACAATAAATATACATACACACACTCACACTATAACTCTAATTTTACCTCTTTCCATCCAGCTCTTTTGCACGCAATTTACCATCGAGAACAAAACGATCATGCTTAACGCCCCGGAATTCATTAAAAGCGAATCCCACGCAAACGCGATTTCGCATCATACAATTGCGATTCCGTCCATACACATTCCTATAATTGATGTTCATTTCACTGCTAATGCCAACTATATTTTTTTTTAGAACGGATTTAGTAGCGTCACCTGTTGATCCCCGTTCAGCACTATTTATTTGTTGCTTTGTCCCACATTGAACGACAATTACAATACAATCTATTAATTTGCATGATTTTCTAAAAAAAAAACTTTGGATAATCAAAATTAATTAATAAACGTAATAGTTGAGTAGCGACATATTAGTTTAAAATAAGATCAGGAAAATAAAGTGTCATAAAAGAAACGTTACATTTTTGTTTTAATGCCATTTTTGATCTAATGAGGTTAAGTTAATTTTTATTTTACAATTACATTATTAAAAGATTTAATTTTAGATTGATTTATTTCATTTAACTACTATATTTCAATAATGTAGATATCGAAATCAAAATATATAAATTATACATTTTATTATCGATTTCAGCTATTTTATTTCAAATATTTAATACGTATAACTTTCACTAATGACTACTAAGAAAGGTTACTTTATTAATTCTCAGATTTACTGGTTCTGCGAAACAATTCATCAAACTTTGTAAGTAATTTCTATAACTTAACATAAAAGAAATAATTTAAATCGCTACCATCATTTGTAGGAGCGTTTTTATTGGAATCAACGAATTTGTTTGTAAAACTATTATAATTACAAAATATCTGTAACCAAATCATAAGTTTCTTGTTCCATTGAGAAGGAAATGCATATTACATTCCGAATTCAAACTAAGCTTGATTAATCCAAAGTTTGGTTTCTTTGAAGAGTTTAATATCACTTATACACAATAAGCAGCTCTCTACAATAAGCTTGAAACTTTGATCCTGGATGTTGTAACTACAGCCGGATAAATGAGTCGCAACGTTAAATTAATCCTCATAATTAATGAACGTATTTACGGATGGATGCAAACTTTGCACGCTTTGTTCGGACTTTGTTTG